TAACAAGTGTTATCAAGGGTGTGAATAAATTAGAATCCTTGGGCACTGTTGGTGGGAATGTAAAATATGGAAAACGGTATGGGTAGCTCTTCAAAAAATTGAAAATAGAATTACCATGTGATCCAGAGTTCCTCCTCTGGGTATATACCCAAAAGAAGTGAAAGCAGGGAGTTGAACATACATTTGTACACTCATTTTCAGAGCAGCATTGTTCACAATAGCCAAAGGGTGGAAGCAACCCGTGTACATTGACAGATGAATGGATAAACAAAATGTGCTGTATACATACAATGGAATATCAATCAATTTTAAAAAGGAAGGAAATTCTGACATGTGCGACAACATGGATGAAACCTTAGGACATTATGCTAATGAAATAAGCCAGTTACAAAAGTACAAATATTTTATGATTCTACTTATGTGAGATAACTATAGTAATCAAGTTCAAAGAAACAAAGTACAGTGGTGGCTGCCAGGGTCTAGGGGAAGGGGGAATGGGGGAATTACTGATGGATACAGAGTTAAAATTTTCCAAGATGAAAAAATTTTAGAGTGGGGACTAGTGGCACAACAGTGTGAAGGTACTTACGCCACTGAACTGCACACTTCTAAAAATCATTAAGATAGTAAATTTTATGTGTATTTTTACCACCGTTAAAAATAATAATTAAAAAATTTTAAAAACCTAAGAAATTTAGAATACTTGAATCCTGTTTACATCCTCAGTAATATATTTTTGTTTTTCCAGTGTTTTATTTCCAACTTTTGTTTTTTAGGGAGGTAAATTGGGTGTTTTTTTTAAATTTTTATTTTTCTATTTGTAAACTGACAAATTATAGTTGTATACATTTATGGGGTAAATTTATTTTTCAGCCCTAAGGTAGTTACTCCTGCCTCTTTTTCTAGTCCTTGTCCTCCTCCTTCTTCATTGTGTTATCCAATTAACCACCATTTAGATGTATTAGTAAAGTTTACTAATATCTTTGTTCATAATTGCTTCTAGTATCACGTTCTTCCATCTTGGTTAAATTTCTTGTTTTCCGAAGTATACCCTTTAGTACTTGTTTAGCCGAAAGGAAATATTAGTGATAGTTCACTCAGTCTTGTGTGAGAATGTATCATTTCTGTATCATAATTTAGGTAGGTAGGTAATATTATATTGACAATCATTTTGTCTTATCACTTTGAAGGTACAACTTCATTTTCTTCTGACTGCAATTTTTAGTTAATAATAATTCAACTGTTGGTCTAATTGTTGTTCCTTAGTAGATAATCTCTATTCTTTAATGTTTTTAAAATCTCTTTGGGTTTGGTATTCTGTAGTTTAATTCCAGTGTGTATAGACATGAATCTGCTTTTATTTATCTTCTAAGTACTTTGTGTTTTGTTTTGTTTTGTTTTGAGACAGGATTTCACACTTGTTGCCCAGGCTGAAGTGTGGTGGTGCCATCTCTGCTCACTGCAACCTTGACTTCCCAGGCTCAAGCAATCCTCCCACCCCAGCCTCCCAAGTAGCTGGGACTACAGACATGTGCCACCATGTCCAGCTAATTTTGTATTTTTTGTAGAGATGTGGTTTCACGATGTTGCCCAGGCTGGTCTCCAACTTCTGAGCTCAAGCAATCCACCTGCCTCAGCTTCCCAAAGTGATGGGATTACAGGTGTGAGCCACTGTGCTCAACCTCTTCTAAGTACTTTATGCCCTTCCTGCATCCAAGAATTCAAGTCTTATCATTCTTGAAAAAATTTAAGCTTCGTCTCTTTGGATATTGCTTTCCGCTATTCTCTCTTTTATCTCATTCTCTTATGCTGTGTTGAACTTGTCCATTCTAGGGTCCGTACATGTTAGCCTTTATTCCAAATTTTCCATTTTTTAAGTCTTCACATTAGATGCTAGTTAATTTCTTCAGCTCTTCTTCAGGTTTATTATTCTCGTCAACTGTATCTAATCCACTGTTTACCTATTTATTGCATTTATTTTATTTCAATGACTATTTTCATTTCTAGGAGTTCTGTTTGATTTTTAAAAACTTGTGCGTTGTTGATTTTTTTAGGTCTTTAATAATTTTAAAAATACTTATTTCATAGAGTGGATCTGATTGTTGTTAGGGATCCAATTGTTCTGTTTGTTGGGATTTATGACTTACTCATAATAGACAGTTTCCTCATTTGGTTTTTATTATTGGATTGTGAGCTCATATTCAGCAACATTTTGTGTTTAAGAATTATATCTGCTAAATTTGAGCATATGTCCTCCACAGTAGATTTGAATTTGTTTTGCTTCCTAGAGGCAACTAACCTTGGGTCAGTGTTAATGCCAATTTCTTTTTCTTTTTTTTTTTTCTTTTTAAATTATACTTTAAGCTCTAGGGTACATGTGCACAACGTGCAGGTTTGTTACGTATGTATACATGTGCCATGTTGGTGTGCTGCACTCGTCATTTACATTAGGTATATCTCCTAATGCTATCCCTCCTCCCTCCCCCCTCCCCACAATAGGTCCCGGTGTGTGATGTTCCCCTTCCTGTGTCCAAGTGATCTCATTGTTCAGGTCCCACCTATGAGTGAGTGAGAATATGCGGTGTTTGGTTTTCTGTTCCTGTGATAGTTTCAGAGAATGATGATTTCCAACTGCATCCATGTCCCTACAAAGGACACAAATTCATCCTTTTTTATGGCTGCATAGTATTCCATGGTGTATATGTGCCACATTTTCTTAATCCAGTCTGTCACTGATGGACATTTGGGTTGATTCCAAGTCTTTGCTATTGTGAATAGTGCCGCAATAAACATACGTGTGCATGTGTCTTTATAGCAGCATGACTTATAATCCTTTGGGTATATACCCAGTAATGGGATGGCAGGTCAAATGGTATTTCTAGTTCTAGATCCTTGAGGAATCGCCACACTGTCTTCCACAATGGTTGAACTAGTTTACAGTCCCACCAACAGTGTAAAAGTGTTCCTGTTTCTCCACCTCCTCTCCAGCACCTGTTGTTTCCTGACTTTTTAATGATCACCATTCTAACTGGTGTGAGATGGTATCTCATTGTGGTTTTGATTTGCATTTCTCTGATGACGAGTGATGATGAGCATTTTTTCATGTGTTTGTTGGCTGTATGAATGTCTTCTTTTGCGAAGTGTCTGTTCATATCCTTAGCCCACTTTTTGATGAAGTTGTTTGTTTTTTTCTTGTAAATTTGTTTGAGTTCTTTGTAGGTTCTGGATATTAGCCCTTTGTCAGATGAGTAGATTGCAAAAATTTTCTCCCATTTCTTGGCTTGGGAACTTTTGGACCACAGAAGCGGTATGGATTTGCATCCCAAATGTTGAGACTATGTGATGTAATGTTACGAATTTCTGCAGGAACAATATTTTTCATTCATCACACACAAGTCAAGATAGATAAAATGTCTTGTCCTTCTCTGCTTTGTGGAAGATTTTTATAATGTACCATTTTTCTTAAGCAGTATACATTTTAGGGTGTGTATATAGGGAAGCCTTTGTCTTCAAACTCCCCACCTCATGTAAGCTAAGGATAAGGTCTTTTCGTCTGTTCCTTTGTTTTTGTTTTGTTCTTACCTTATGTAAGTGTAAGGTATTCGCTTTTGTGTATGTTAAAATTCGAGAACCTAGGACATGAAAACCAACAATTCCCCAACTCCACTCAGCTCTAATGCTTATTCTTCTGATTTTTAAGCATTTCTTGATTACTGACCTCTAAGAATTTCTCTTTGTAAAAAAGTTCTTTTATATGTTTATACAAATAATTGTTATATTTTATCTAGTTTTTTTTTTTTTTTTCCTTTTGAGACAGAGTCTTGCTCTGTTGCCCAGGCTGGAGTTCAGTGACGCAGTTTTGCTTACTGCAGGCTCCGCCTCCCAGGTTCACACCGTTCTCCTCCCTCAACCTCCTGAGTAGCTGGAACTACAGGCACCCACCACCACACCCGGCTAATTTTTTTGTATTTTTAGTAGAGATGGGGTTTCATCGTGTTAGACAGGATGTTTATATAGCATTTTTAAGAGTTTGTAATAGAAGGGTTTTTAAGTTATTTAATCTCATTACTAAAATGTAAGTCTCTCCTAATTATTCAGAATTGGAAATGTAGTCTAGAAAATCCAGAATATTAACTGATATTCTACTTTAGGAATGTTCATGTTTCGGATAAGTTCTTCTAAAACATGTAAAGGGTCAATATTCTTTTACTTCAAAGTACCTTACAACAAATATACCCAGGATTTTTCTAGTTACCTGTTTTATTTTTTCTTCCACTTTTTTATAGAGACAGGGTCTTGCTATGTTGCCCAGGCTTGTCTCAAACTCCTGGGCTCACGTGTTTCTCCCGCATTGACTTCCCTAAGTGCTGGGATTACAGATGTGAGCTACCATGCCTGGCTTTAATTACTATTTTCTAGTTAAACCTAACCTGCTATAACAAGCACTCAACTTTTTCTCTCTATTGGAACTTTAGTTTTTGAAGGATATGTCTCTTCTTTTATAGTTTTTTAAATTAGTAAGTAGTTTGTTGTACATTATTGACATTTATTTTCTTAGGTTTCTATTAAGGAGTTTAAACATAATCTCCAGGCTTTTCATAGTGTTGGCCTAAATATCAGGAGCTTTTCCCCCCATCTCATTGTAAAATTTTTATAGCTTCATTTTTTTTTACGTATATAGGTTTGACAGGTAATTATCAATAATGAGTGTTCTAAACCAAATATTCAGTTTGTTGTTAATGGGTATGATGGTTTAAATTAAATTGTTCCTCTCAATGTCATCAGCTACGTAACAGCTGTATAGTGTTACGAAATCTGGAAAACTATTAATGTGGGGATAATACAAAATTTAACATATATACAAGGATTATTATTTTTCAGATAATGACAAAGATGTGTTTATGAGATAATAATGTCTTGTGTAACTTAAGTAGCTATTTTAAATTTAAAATTATTTTATTTCTAATATAGTAGATTAATAAAAATGTAAATTTCTTCAGGTTCAGTCCTCAGTGGCTGTAGGAACCCCAGATTATATCTCTCCTGAAATCCTTCAAGCCATGGAAGATGGAAAAGGCAGATATGGACCTGAATGTGACTGGTGGTCTTTGGGGGTCTGTATGTATGAAATGCTTTATGGAGAAACACCATTTTATGCAGAATCTCTGGTGGAGACATACGGAAAAATCATGAATCACAAAGTTAGTATATTTTACTTTTGTTCAAATTAATGTGGTAAATAACACATATAATAATATAATTTTTAAAGAGAAAATATTTTTCTAAAAACAGTGAACAGTCACATTTCTATCCTAGTACGGGACACGACAAACATAAATAGTCAAAAATCCATAAATTATTCATAAGTTACTAGTTCTCATTTTCTTGTATTTTATTAGAGATGCTGCTAAGTAGGAAATTAAGTGGTCTCTCAAGTAGAATAACAAAGGTCATAAGCAGTGAATTTAGATCATTGCTTACTATAGTATATGTATATAGTACATGTATAATCATGACTAGAATGTGTGTAAAAAAATTTTCAACTTTAGTAGTAATAAGTGCAATACAAATTTAAAATAAGAATGAGACACTTTTTTTCTTGTCAAATTAGCAAAGATCAAAAGACAAATAGTACTCTGTACCATAAATAATGCAGTGAGATGGGCATTCTAAGACATTAATAGGATTATAAATTGGTGTAACCTTTCTGTTCAGAAAGTATACAGGTATGCACCTAGAGCCTTAAAAAATGGTTAGAGGTTTTGATTGAGCAACTTCACTCTAGGAATCTACCCTATGACATTTTCAGTAGAACAAAGATATATGTACAAGGATACCTATTCTAATATTATTTATGATGACGACATTAGAAGCAACACAGATAACACAACAAGAACAAATTAATGAAACTTTAATATATTTAGTACTAAGTGAAATAGACTTCATAATAATAAGAAGAAAGGTTTTATTAGCAGTCTTAGAAGATTGTGAGCAGTTGCAAAAACCTAGAATATGAATATCCGATAGAAGGGGATAATCTGTTCTTTTTAATTTGTTCCAGTGAAGCAATTATGATTAGTTGCTTTACATATATACAAATCAGTTTTATAGGGCTTATGTTTTTCTACCTGGTTGCAAAGACAATGTTTCAAGTAGTTACAAAGAGCTGAAAGACTGGAAATAGCAGCAAGGTTGTAAATAGCATGTACATCATTTGAATTAGAAAAGAATATTGTAGTATAACATTATATTTAACAGCACAGATTACAGCTTCAGTTCAAATTCTGGTTCTGCCACTTACTAGATGTGTAATGTTGAGAAAGTTATTTGAATTCTCTGTGTCTTTATTTCTTCTATAATAGTAGCATAGTAGGAGTACCTACCTAAAATGGTTGTTTTGAGGATTAAATGAGTAACATACTTTAAATAGTGTCAGATACATATTATGTCCTTTAAAAATATTATTAATCATTAGCATGTAACTTATATGACCATTATCAATCATCTATGCTCGATTTAAATATTGAGTCAAATTCCACTACTTTTAAGTAATTTCTCTTCATTCTGATAGCAGTTTAAGGTATAATGTATTCTTTTTTCTATAGCACATGCATGATAACTCATATATGAAATTAAAGTCCTAGGAAAATGATCATCTGTCATTCATCCCTGTATTCCTTTAGTATTAGTACTTTGCACCAACATACAGTTATTAAATATATTTAAAAGAAAATGTATTTTTAAGAAAATAAATAAGTCAGCCAACGTACTTAGTATGTTAAACACTGATTTATATTTTGTTTCTGTTTTTCACTGTTTAGGAGAGGTTTCAGTTTCCAGCCCAAGTGACTGATGTGTCTGAAAATGCTAAGGATCTTATTCGAAGGCTCATTTGTAGCAGAGAACATCGACTTGGTCAAAATGGAATAGAAGACTTTAAGAAACATCCATTTTTCAGTGGAATTGATTGGGATAATATTCGGAACTGTGAAGCACCTTATATTCCAGAAGTTAGTAGCCCAACAGATACATCGAATTTTGATGTAGATGATGATTGTTTAAAAAATTCTGTAAGTATGACACTGTGAAGAAGTTCTATCCCTCTGTTTCTTTCTAATATGGTTATATAGTAATTTTTTGGTTTATAAGTATTTTGCTAGGATGGTTTTACAATTTATCAGTTATCAGTCAGTGATCATGGCTTCCAGTGCTTATTCTGTCACAAATCAAATTAAGAAGAAAGGTAACTGAGGTGAACATAGTTATTTGTGACTAAGAACAAAATTAAAATTCAAAGTTTTACCTCTTAGATAAGTTATGCCATTAAGCTTCCTAAGAGAACAAATTAGATACTTAAAAAAGCAGATTTTATGATTGCAAAGTGAAGAGGTTGGCAAATTTCTCTCTAAAACCATAGAACTGGACAAAATTATCAAAAACAACCATGTTAGGGCTTGATACAACAATTGAAGAGAAATAAATTGAGAAGCATTTATTTGTGCAAAGCTACTGAACTTTAGTTAAAGTCACATATACCACACACTTCCATCCCCACTACTGACTTGGTCTGGGACAGTAGTACTAGTAGCATGGAACTGGATAGAAAAATCAGCAGCTTTGCCGATACAGAGGGCAGATTCTAGGACTAAATACCCAAGCCCAGTGTGTTGCTGCTAACAATAGCTAACTTGGTAGGAAATCAATAGGGAAAATAGTCCACAGACGTGGTATAGCCCTGAGCTATAACCCTGCCTGAGGTGAATATCTGACCTCAAGCCAATTATTTGGCCAGTCCACTAGCCAAATAATTCGACCATTCTTAGCTTGTGAGCCATGCCCAAACAGGCCAGCATAGTATATCGACCTCTGCTATAACCCTTTAGGTTATATGAGATTAAAATTTAGGAAAATAAGAACTTAAAATGTTTGTGCTTTTTGCCTTTTTTAGTCATCGTCGTCGTCGTCATCGTCGTCGTCTTCTTCTTCTTCTTCTTCCTTCTTCCTTCTTCCTTCTTTCTTCCTCCTCCTCCTCCTCCTCCTCCTTCTTCTTCTTCTTCCTTCTCCTCCTCCTCCTCCTCTTCCTCCTTCTCCTCCTTCTCCTCCTTCTCCTTCTCCTTCTTTTTTTAAACATTTTTTATTTGAGACAGAGTCGCTCTGTGTCTCCCAGGCTGGAGTGCAGTGGCATGATCTCGGCTCACTGCAAGCTCTGCCTCACGGGTTCACGCCATTCTCCTGCCTCAGCTTCCCGAGTAGCTGGGACTGTAGGCGCCCGCCACCACGCCCAGCTAACTTTTTGTATTTTTTGTAGAGATGGGGTTTCACCGTGTTACCCAGGATGGTCTCGATCTCCTGACCTCATGATCCGCCTGCCTCAGCCTCCCAAAGTGTTGGGATTACAGGCATGAGCCACCGCTCCCAGCCACTTTTTAGCCTTCTTAATTTGAGCTTTTATTTTTTTTTTTGCAGCTATTTTATTTACTATGGCTTTAATTCTGTACTAAAAATTTTTATGTTAATGTTATATGACTTACAATTTTTTAAAATTTTTGTGGGTACTTAATAGGTACACGTTATATTACTTTTCACTGAAACTGTGAATACTCTTTTCAGTACAATAAGCTGTGATCACTGTTTGATAACTGTAAACCATCCTAGTACTATATTCAAGGCAGATAAAAATTTCTCATACTTTCCTGTCTAAACTTCACAAAGAATAGTTAAATGGACTTCTCTTACCAATTTTTTATAAATAGAATTATGTTTACTGTTAACAAATTGTGAATCATTCCAAATTAAATACATAGTACAGTTGATTCTAATTATTCATGGTGTTTATGTTCTATATAGTTGCCTTGAACACTATTAGCTAATATTGAACCATTGCTCTGAGGGAAGTACAGGGTTAGGTTTCTGTGAGCCTCTGATCAACTGATCAGTATATAGTCTTGTTTTATGTGTGCTTCTCTTTAAAGACACTTTATATAATATAGTTGATTCATTAACACTGAACTCACCATTGAACTCACCACCAGCAGCACTGTAACTCGTGCCTGAATGAAGCTTTTCCAGCATATTATTTTCTCCGTAAAGGCACGTCACTGTCCTCTTGTGCTAGGAACACTAGACAGTGCTTCAGCACTATGCTTGGGAGCCTTTTCAAGCAGTGAATCACATACAAAGGGCCCAAAAATGTGAAATGCATGACACCAAAGAGACCCTGTAAAGGACACTTGTTTATAATATGAGCGCTTAAATGAGAAGGCAGAGCCTCTCCTGTTCAACTTCAGCTGGGAATGTGAGCATAGGACATCTCAAATTTTTCTGTGCTCTGCACGTGTCTACAAATAATCATAAAATTACCACAAGTATTGATCTGGGGTTTACAAATAAATATTAGCTTCTATACAAATTTGCAAATACAGAGTACATGAATAATAATGACTGTATTCTCAATATTAGACTTTCCATCTTTAATTTAATTAGAATTTTAGAGTAGCAGTGTTCATGGTCTGAATTTTATATCACTAAACAACTATACCAAACTTATCAGTGTTTTAAAATTGAACAGTCAAAAATTTTTTTTGTTAATTTTTTTTGGCATTTTATATTTATAGCCAAGCCTACAGATCATAGCTATCTATTTCTTACCAGATGTTTTTTCCTCCTTTAGGAAACGATGCCCCCACCAACACACACTGCATTTTCTGGCCACCATCTGCCATTTGTTGGTTTTACATATACTAGTAGCTGGTAAGTTTGAAAAGTTAACATAGTTTGGGCGAGGTGCAGTGGCTCATGCCTGTAATCCCAGCACTTTGAGAGGCCAAGGCAGGCAGATCATGAAGTCAGGAGATTTGAGACCAGCCTGGCCAATATGATGAAATCCCATCTCTACTAAAAATACAAAAATTAGGTGGGCATGGTGGCGGGTGCCTGTAATCCCAGCTACTCGGGTGACCGAGGCAGGAGAATCGCTTGAACCGGGGAGGTGGAGGTTGCAGTGAGCCGAGACTGTGCCATTGCACTCCAGCCTGGGTAACAGAGTGAGACTCTGTCTCAAAAAAAAAAAAAAAAAAAAAAAAAAGTTAACATAGTTTGGACAATTTAAAGCAAATTAAATTGAATTGAGGTTGGTAAAAAATGTATGAGAAAACTGTAAATTAAAACTTTTTAAAAAATAGAATGAGCCTACTGCTGGAAATAGAAAGTTAAGCGTTACAAAATTAGTAGAATACATGAAAATCTGAACTCATTTTGGAGGGGAAAGAATGGAACAGAGAGCTCAGAATCTATTCCTTAGCAATGAAGCAGTAATTAGAAGAGTTTCATGCTGCTGAATATTCTCTAGATGTCAAGCAGGAGAACTTTGAACCCATTAATTCTACCATCTTTTACACTGACCCTCCGTTCACTTATATTCCCTATTTCCCCCTTACCCTGCTTAAATTCCATTGAGAATGATTATAATCACTCCTTGTATGCTCTTTCAGTTTCTTTGACTGTCTCTAATTCTGTTATACTTGCTTTGCTAAGTCAACATTAACTCTTAAAATTTTATTCTCTACCTGTACAGTTTCAAATGACTAGAAAAAATAGCTGACTATTCTTACTGGTCTACTTTAAATTCATGATTACCAACCTCAAGTGCCCCTTGTCTGACAAATATACTGTATTACTCTAGTGTATTCACTCTTCCACTCACCTAGATAACTTTTTTTTTTTTTTTTTTTTTTTTTTTTTTTTTTAAAGAGATGGGGTTTTATTCTGGGCAGCAGAAGGGCTGGAATGCAGTGGTGCAGTCCTAGCTCACTATAACCTCAAACTCCTGACCACAAATGATCCTCCTGCCTCAGCCTCCAGAGTAGCTGGGACAATAGGCACAAGCCGCCATGCCCAGCTAATTTTTAAAACGATTTAGAAATGGAGTCCTGCTGTGCTGTCTAGACTGGAGTACAATGGCACAGTCATAGATCACTACAGCCTCCTACTCCTCAAGCCATCCTCTGGCCTTAACCTACCCTGTTGCTGGGATTACAGATGTGAGCCATTGCATCTGGCGTATTTCTTTCTACTTGAGTTTGAAACCTCACGTTCAGCTGATTTGTATCCCCTTTCACCGAAAGGATTGAGGCAAACCACAGACAACTCCCACAAGCTCCAGTTACCATATTTACCGCCTACTTACTGTTGGACCCAAATTCTCTGTTCTTTTCATGGATGAACTGTGCAAGCCTCTAGTAAGGCCAGTCTCTTTCATTCCTTCCTGGCTGGTCTAGTACATGTTTTGCTTTTATGTCATGAATTTTTTCTTCTTGTGTCATCTGCATCACCAGATTATTTCTATCAGCTTGCAAATGTCAGTTCCCCATCTTAATACAAAATATAAAATCTGGATTCTACTTCCTTTACCTCTTATCAACCATGTCTCTGCTCTACATTATAGAAAAATTACTTCAACTTTTGACTATATTTTGTTTATTTTTCTCATACTGTTGTTTCTTGAATTCATTCCAGTCAGGTATGTGCCACCATCACTTCATGCAAACTGCTTTTATCAATGTCACTGTTGACCAGCATGTTACTAAATCTAATGATCACTTCTCAGTTCTAGTCTTACTTATTTGCTTAGTCTCATCTTATTTGCCACAGCTCCATACTTTTAAAATACCTTCTTCTCCTATCTTCTAGGACACTTGACTGATTTTCTCTCACCTTGCTGGTCATTCCTTCTCAGTCTCCATACCTGAACCCTCCTGACTTCCCTGACTTGTGAATATCAGAGTGTCCTATGGCTCAGTCTTTGGACTTCTCTTTTCCATCTAAACTCTCTAGTGTTCTCCCAAAGATTTGCTGATGAATCGTCAGTGTGCATCTCCAGCTGAGACCTCTCCTCTCGTCTGCTTAAAAATCTGTCTTAACCACCCACTTACTATGTAAATAACTTTCTTTTATTTCTCTGAACCTGTTCAGGTGATCCTTTAAAAGATAATCAGAACATGTCACTCCCCTATTCAGAACCAGTCCACCCATCCCCAACTCCAGTGGCTTCATATCAACTCCAAATCAAACTTCTTACAAGACCCTACATGACTGCCTTACTTTTATCTTTCTGAGTTTATTTTTCTTTGTTTACTCAACTCCATCCACACAGGCCTCCTTTCTGGCCTGTGAACATGCCAGACATACTCTTGTCTCAGGGCTTTAGTACTTCTGTTTCATCTGCTTGGAACATTCTTTCTTTTGATATTCCCTTAAGTGGTCCCCTCACCTTTACTTAGCTTTTTCCAAAGTTGCTTTAGCAGTGACAGCTTTACTGACTACTTTATCTAAATTTGTATCTCCTCCCCTTCAATACTTTATTTCTCCTTTTCCTGCTTTATGTTTTCTCCTTAGCATTTAACATTTTCTAATGTAATGAATATCTCAATTATTTTGTTTATTTCTGTCTCAGTCACTGGAATATAAGCTCTATATGGGCAAGGATTTTTGTCTGTTTTGTTCACCACCAAATGTCCAGCAGTTTCAGTATTTTTATTTAAATCGTATTGAATTAAAGACAGAAACTTGCTTTTGAATTTCAAATTCTAGTAAAGAGGGCCGTGGTTGGTGCTTTTGACTACTACTGTTTCACCTAGGTGGTCAAATTGTTTTAAACTACCAGTAACCCTTCAGCAAACTTCATTTTATAATTTGTGGGGTTTTTTAAATCAAAATAATTTGGGGGATATTAGGTTTTCATTTTTTCAAATGCTTCTAAAAACAGTTTATGGTAATTTTGCAAAAAAATCTTATAATTATTCCAGCTGGCTAAGCTGCAAGATATTCAAATCTGTGTTTTAAATGAGCAATTTAAAAATGTTTATGCCATGAATGTGGAGTCAGTTAAAAACTTTTTTTTAAAAATGTTAACATTTTTCTTCAAACTTTTTCTCACAGTATGAACCTACTTTTTTTTGTTTTTTTTTTTTTTTCTTCAGTGTACTTTCTGATCGGAGCTGTTTAAGAGTTACAGCTGGTCCCACCTCACTGGATCTTGATGTTAATGTTCAGAGGACTCTAGACAACAACTTAGCAACTGAAGCTTATGAAAGAAGAATTAAGCGCCTTGAGCAAGAAAAACTTGAACTCAGTAGAAAACTTCAAGGTAAATATATATTCACTTTTTGAATTGTACTCACAGTGTTATGAGGTGTTTATTGTAAGTGGTTGTTTTATCTTTGGAAAAAATCTTTTAAGTGGTGAAAAATCAGTTGTAGAAATTTATGCAGAAAACAGCATAATACCATTTATATAAAATCACACAATTAACAATAAACAACAACAAAATAGCTTTTGTTTCCTGTGGCTACATATTTATGTTTATAAAAATGTGTGGGAATACCTTTGGGGATGAGGAAATGAGACCCTCCTCACTTCGTTATAGCACTTTAATGACTTTTCCTATCTTATTTGCTCAATATTTAAGAGCTCTAGCTCCTTTCACATTGTCATTCTCTGCAGCATTGCTTCTGCCATATTTGATGATTTTAAAATGCACATACACATAAACTTTTTAAGATTCTGAGTGAGTTTCTTTATTCTTCACCTTCAATGATTGTTTTCTCCATTTCATTTCATCCAGTCCATCCTATGGTAATAAGATATGTCTTAAGATTACCATATCTAAAACTCATTAATCGCAGTTTCCAGCAAATCTTTTATAATTTCCTGCTCATAATTTTCTAGTGCTCTCTCTCTCTCTGACCCCTTAACTCCAATATTCCTTCACTGCCACCATTACCTACAAGTCTATCACCAATTTAACTCTGCTATTTATACCCTCATTTTTCATTCTCTGGTCAGCCATAATCATACCCTGGCATATACCTTCAAATCTATTGTTCCGCTTTCTCTTTGTCAGATACCTTTGGCAGAACCCCAACCGTGTTTGAATACAACTTTGTGTCTTCAACAATCCAGCTGAAGACAGCTTACCTAACACCCACAACATGCTGACTAATAATATTAATTCAGATTCACAGACACTCACCTCAGGTCAGCTCTTCATGCTGCCTAGCAGTCCTACTTTGTTCCCCTAGTCTATTTCCCTATCTTGTGCTGTAAAATCCAGTGATCATTTCTGTCTTCACCTTTTAACCTATCAGCAATATTTGATCCTGTGGACCATTTATTCCTCCTGATAATGCCTTTTTTGTTTTTGGCAGGGGGGGCGCTTCCGGGGCACTTTATCTCCTGGTTTTCTTTTTCCTCATAAACCAGTCCTTCCCAGTCTCCTTTGCTAAGTTTTCCTTAACTCTTTGACCTTTGAATGTTAGAATACTCTCTACTTGAAGCAAGTCTCTAGTTGAATGATGCCTTCAGTGAAGGTTTTCCAGACCATCCTATTTATAATTTAATCATATGTATATCCCCGGTACTACTATCTACTTTTTCTGCTTTTTTCTCTAAAATAAAGGATGTCACATATTATATATTTTACTTACATATTTTGTGAATGAAGGAGTGTATTTATGCACAAATAATCAGGAACTTGTAACTCCTAGGAGAGAAATAATCAAAGTTTTACAATCACAGAATTTTACTCTCATAGTTTTAGAGGCCAAGTAGAGAAAAAGGCTGTGTAGACATCAATAGAATGGACTATTTTCTGTTTTTCCATAAGTTGTTAAGATCTCTGCATATGAATTACTTCCCTTTTGTGACTGAAATTTTTCTGTTTGTTTTTTTATGTGGTGACATAGCAAAGTGTGCAAGCATTCTACTTTTAAGTATAAGCCTAATAAATGTTTGTATATGTGTACACTAATGTAACCTTCACCCATATTCATGTGTAGAATATTTCCAGCATAGGGTAAAGTCCTCAGATGCCACTTCCCAGTTTGTAACTTACCACTATGAAATAAACATCATCCTAATTTCTTTCACCATTAATGAATTTTTACCTGTTTTTGAACTTCATATAAATGGTATCATACAGTATATTCTCTTTTGTGTATGGCATGTTTCACTTGTTGTTTTTTAAAATTCACCCATGTTTTGTATATATCAGTAGTTTGCTCTTTTTTTTTTGTTTTTTTGGACTGCTGTTTAGTATTTCATTGTGTATAAGCACTAAAAAATTGCCCAGTCTGTTGTTGGTAAATATTTGGGTTATTTCCAGATGTTGACTACTATGAGTAAAGTTCCTGCAAATGTGCTTATATGTTTATTTTGATGGTCCTATATACTATTTCTCTCAGATATATACCTGGGAGTAGAATTTCTGGGCCATATAGTAGAGGATTTTCAGCTTTAGAAGATATTTTCAAAGAGTTTTCCAAAGTGATTATACCAATGTATAGTTCTACTAATAATTTATGAGTTCTACTTTCTTCAGCTCCCCACCAGAACTTGATATTGTCAGCGTTTTTAACTTGTAGCCATTCTGGTAGAAGTATAGTGATGTCCTGCCGTGATTTTAATTTGCATTTTCCTGATGGATAATGAGTTTGAATATCTTTTCATATATTTACTATCCATTTGGATATCTAGTCTTGTGAAGTTCTGGTTCGAGGTTCTTGCCCATTTTTCTGTTAGGTCTTTATATATCTTTTTCTTAGTAATTTGTATGTTACTACTTCACAAACAACGTAGAAACCTTTAGACAACCAGCTCCTTGTATGACTGTTGTTATGTAGTTTACCTTAATCTGTGTTATAAATCTTTTAATACATTTTTACTCGATTGTTGCTTTACGTTTTCTTTACTCATTAATTTTAAGTATCATTTAATTTACCCATTCATTTACCCTTTTGGTGCTTTTTATTTCTCCCTAAATTACATGTTTCTATCTGGAATCATTTTTCTTTAGCCTAAAAAACTTCCTTTATTGTTTTCTTGTAATGTAAGTGTGTTGTGACAATTCTTGATAGGGTTTTGTTGATATGAAAATGTCTTTATTTTTACCTTCATTTTGGAGGAATACTTGTGCTGGATTAGAATTCTAGCTTGGCAGCTTTGTCTTTCAGAGCTCTACATGTATTATTTTATTCTTTTCTATAATAGCTTCCATAATATTTCTTGAGAAGCCAGCTGTTAATCTTAATCTCTTGAATGTAATGTATATGTTTTCCCTTCTGGCTGCTTTCAGGATTATGTCCTTAACTTCAGTTTCAAATAGTTGGACTGTGATTCACGTACGTGTAGCTTTCTTTGTATTAACAGAAAATCCTGGTTGAGATTCACTGAGCTTTTGCAATCTTGTTTGATGTCTTTTATCAGTTTTGCAAAATTCTAAGCCATAGTCTCTGTAGATACTATTTTGCCTCGTGCACTTTCTCCTCTCCTTCTGGGGCTGTAATTGCGTATATGTTAGATGGTATCTCACATTTCCTTTATGCTCTGTTCTGTTCCTTCCATTGTTTCTTTTTGTGTGTGTGCTTCATTAAGATATTTTCTATTGATCTGCCTTCAGGTTCACTAGTTCTGTCTTCTGCTATATCCATTTTGCTGTTAAGTCCATCTGATTAATCTTAATTTCAGATATTGTCTTTTTTAGTTAAAGTTTATTCATTTGATTCTCTCAATTGCAGTTTTCTGTTGAAATTTCCCCATATTTTTGTGTATTTTTTCACTATTTTCTGTAACATTTTAATAATATTTTGAGGTCTTTATCTGTTAAATTTCAACAACTGTGAACCTGCCTTTCTGTTTTTTTCTTCCATTTGTCATGCTTTTCTGCTTTTCCAAATGTCTCATGTGAAAGATGTCAGGAATAAAAATAACATAGAGAAGCAAGTTTATATTATTTTTGCCCCAGAGAGGCTTCTCCCTTTTCATTCCATCAAGAATTGAGCTTGGACAAGACTAAATTGCATTTTTTTTGGGGGGCGGGGGGGGACGGAGTCTCGCTCTGTTGTCCAGGCTGGAGTGCAGTGATTTGATCTCGGCTCACTGCAACCTCTGCCTCCCCGGTTCAAGTGATTCTCCTGCCTCAGGCTCCTGAGTAGCTGGGACTACAGGTGTGTGCCACCATGCCTGGCTGATTTTTTTGTATTTTTAGTAGAGATGAGGTTTCGCCATGTTAGCCAGGATAGTCTCGATCTCCTGACCTCGTGATCTGCCCGCCTCAGCCTCCCTAAGTGCTGGGATTACAGGCATGAGCCACTGTGCCCACCTTTAAATTGCATTTTTAATTAGATTCAAACCTACCTTTGATTTCAAATGCCCAGAAGCGGGAGCTGGATAGAGCCTAGTTGGGCCTCTTTCTCCTCTTTCCTAAACTATGGGAGATTTATTCTCCTCTTCAGCCTTCTGCCCTATACCATTTCCAAATTTGGTAAGTGTCTTGATGAAGAGACTGGCCATGTATTTGAAGCAGATTCTCTTCCTCAAGCAGCTCCTCGTCTCTGAAATAATTCTATACTATCAGAGATTTCTGTCTGACTTTTCAAAGCTCCCTAACTTCCCATGTAGCCCCCAAGTACAACAATTAAAATATACCATGGGAATGAAAGCACCATATGCTTACGGACTTTGAGATTTCCAAATTGTTGCATCATTCCCACACATCCTCCAGAAGCTTCAGTGGTTTTTCTTTCCAGCATGTTATCTCTCAATTTAAAGGCCAGGCTTGACCTAAGTACGCTCACAGAAATGGATAAGGCTTCCAGGTAAGAAGCAGTTGTAATAGCCTCTTCACTTCAGAATGCCTCACTTCCCTGGCTCACTTTCCCACCTCTGACTGGGAAAGCAAAGAGAACTAAGTAAAGTAAACCAAAGATGTTTTTAAAAATAAGATTTTTTCCAAATTATATACTGAATTTTTACTTTTTACAGCAGGAGAAACAAAGCAATGACCTGTTGCTTCCTAGTCCATCCCCTTATGACTAAGAATTTCCTGTGTTTTGGTTTTTTTTTTTAATGTTTTGAATTCTTTAATTTGTTCTTAGTATTTTTACATGTATAGTATCGTCTACACGGAGCAAAGCGAACAAAAATGTAAGATCATTGCCTTTTGGCATGAATACTTATTTCATAGCAGTGACATAGATTAACATTTAAACTGATTCATTCATTTGTCAGCTATTTATTGAGTATCAAATAGCCAGGAACTGTTCTGCATATGACTAGTAATGTAATAAAAAACAGATAGAGACAAAAATACCTCCCCTTGTTATGTTTCCTTTCTACTTTGAGGAGACAGACAATAAATCACATACAAAGTAGGGTCATCCACTGAGAGTAAGGAAGGTAGAGGAGATAATAGATATTTGACAAGAAAAAGAGAAAATATGAAATGATCAGTATAGAGATGAAAAGAGTAAATGAGCCAGGGAAATAGTTTAGGATAGCCAGATATTTCCATGTTATTTAAGTTTAGTAATTATGAGTTTTAAATGACTGTGTATTTTTTTCAGTCATTTTTAGCTACTTGGGTAAAATCATAGAGTAGGAGGAGAGTAGAAATTAGCCAAGATTGAGGGCCTTCTAGAATAAGTACAATGGAGGAGAGAAGGGTAAAGAAATGGAAGGTATTTGCAAAACAGTGATGGACCACAGAATCTAACCAGGGTAAGTAAGGAAGTAAAGAGGAAAAAATGGAAAGTGTTGGGAACACACTGATTGGCATTTGTGGTGGGAATGAAGAATTGTTGAAGTGGTCCCTGGAGTAGTAAGCTGTACAGATAAGAGAGATGATTTTGGAGGCCATGACGTTATTGATAATGACAAAGCGTATAGTAGAATTTCTTAATTGGTGAACCACAAGCATTTGGGGTGAGGTAGTTTTTTCACATGAGAGAGAGTTTCACACTCTGAGATATTGAACATTCTGAGTTTCCAGATGTTAAATGCTTGTCGCAGTCTCCTCATGTACTGTGTCAACAACTGACTCCCCTTCTGTCCCCTTCACATGAGGTGATGGTACACCTGCAGTAGAGAACCACTAGTTTAGGATGTGGCCAGTTAATCTGATGGTTATACTGGAGAGAAGTCTATCAGCTAGATTGTTTTGGGCTGCAGATGTGAGAATTCTTAAATAATAAGGATTTATTTTCTCACTTAAGAAGCCAGAAGTAAATGGTTTCAGTGCCAATTTTGGGGTAGCTGCCCTATTAATTTCTTGGCTTTCCTTGATTCCACGATATTGTAGAACTTTCAGATGTAAACTTTGGAAGGTAAGACATCCCTTCATACACCAGATTCACTTCATATACCATCTGACAGACATACCAGGCATTTGACTTATCACATGGTGACGTTCCCTGCTAGGACAAAAAGGAGCTAAATAGATTCATTGGCAGAGTACACCAAGAGTTCTATCTTCATATCTGCACATATCCAGAGACTCAGAAAGTGGAAAGCTTCATTTAGTTTCCTACATCTTTCATTTAATGGGAGATTAAAACCTCTCCCTGAAGCCCCCTAGTGGACTTCTTCTCAAGGTACCATTTAAGTTCTAACTAGGTCACATACCTAATTCTTGACCAACACTTGCAATGTGGAATGGAATTATTATGATTAATTTAAGCCAGCCAGTTTTGACTGGGCCCACCTTGCCTATGCACACTGTAGCCTGATAATTGAATTTGGTTCACAAGGAAGAAAAGATGAGTAGATGCTGGGTAAAAACCAGCAGTATCTGCCGTAGAGGATTTATGTGCCTCAGAAGTCAGTGTTAGATGGATTATCTATTTTGATGTTAAAGTCACTAAGAATAATAAGAAGAGTAGTAATGGAAAGAAGAGCAGAGAATAACATGTAAAATCCTTGTTTAAAAAAGAGTAAGATAGGGAGGACAAGTGGATAACTACATAAGCAGGAAATGGCCATTTCAGTAGACCTAGGAATTTTGAGGAGAGAGGTGGCAATAATGAACAAGGATGCCTGCCCCACCTTCATACCTGTGGCAGGGGAGTACAGGAGGAAAAGTAACTCCTATTAATGTCCATTTGGTATTTTTTGGTTTTTTGTTTGTTTCTTTGAGACAGAGTCTTTCTCTATCACCCAGGCTGGGTGTGGTGGCATGATCTCAGCTCACTGCAACCTCTGCCTCCCGGGTTCAAGCATTTCTCCTGCCTCAGCCTTCCAAATAGCTGGTATTACAGGCATGCACCACCATGCCTGGCTAATTTTTATATTTTTAGTAGAGATGGTGTTTCACCATGTAGGCCAGGCTGATCTGCAACTCCTGACCTCAGGTGGTGCACCTGCCTTGGCTTCCCAAAGCACTGGGATTACAGGCATGAGCCACCGCACCTGCACCTCTCCCACATTGGGTATTTTTATGTCCCCCCATTTTCTGCCCCCAATTTAGATGTCTTAAAAAAATAAAAACATTGGATGTTCTTTTCAAAATAATAAATACAGAAAGGACCAGTTTTTAGCATGTTTTGAACCCAAAGAGATAGAAATGTGTAAGAAATACTTATATGATGCAGAAAATCAAGATCAGATACACAATGTAGTATATCTTACACCTTTAATTCAAATTAACAAATATTTATTGACCGCCAAACATAATAGGGATTATGGTTTACACACACACGTACATATGCACACACAAAGTAATCAGTAATGATTTGCACTAACTCATAAAGAATTATGGTAAAGCAGAGACTTATTATGTAAGAATCCCTCCATAAATAGCAGAACACCTATTTTAGAACAAAGGGCAATTTCATTTCTGGTGTAAAATGGTAAAAAATATTTTCTTTGTTCCATATCTTTTGATGATATCTGGGAATAAGCCTCAATAGACTTACTGTTCTTTAAAACCCTGTATTTTCTAATTAGAACTGCAAGATAAATTAATATTTTCTATTTAAACTAAATATTTTAGCTACATTGTTGAGCCGTAGTTACCTATAGATGGGCCTCAACTTTCAGACATAAAATTTGGAAGGCCAGCACTTCTGCATATGTATATTAACATGCCTAACCCTCCATTTGTAAACCCAATTCAGGTCTTCATATAGCATCTGACTGACATACCAGGCTTTTGAGTTATCACATGGTGATGTTCCTACTAGGAGAAAAAGGAGCTACGTAGTTGATTCACTGGCAGAGTACACCAACAGTATTTAAAACCAAAAATTATTAGAAGGTGGATTCTTATAGATATATATATATATGCAGCGGATTTTTTTTTTTTTTTTGATAGAGTCTCACTTTGCCTCCCAGGCTGGAGTATAGTGCCATGATCATGACTCACTACCACCTCAACCTTCCAGGCTCAAGCAGTTCTCCCATCTGAGCCTCCTGAGTAGCGGGACTTCAGGCATGTGCCACCATGCCCTGCCAATTTTTGTATCTTTTGTAGAGAAAGGGTCTCACTCTGTTGCCCAGGCTGGTCTTATACTCCTGAACTCAAGTGATCCTCCCACTTTGGCCTCCCGGAGTGCTGGGATTACAGGCATGAACTACCATGCCTGGCCTGATTTTTTATGACCTAATTTTTACGTATTCACATGCTTTTTATCAGTGAGTAGATGTTTTGTTCTGTAAATTGTGTAAGAATTTCTCTGCAAACAATATAATGTTATTAGTGTTAAGAATTTGGAGTATGGTGATATTTTTATTTATTCTTTTTTTTAAAGAGTCAACACAGACTGTCCAAGCTCTGCAGTATTCAACTGTTGATGGTCCACTAACAGCAAGCAAAGATTTAGAAATAAAAAACTTAAAAGAAGAAATTGAAAAACTAAGGAAACAAGTAACAGGTAAATATCTGTGTTTCACTGCTAATTCAATTTAGGAAATGTTTAAACAATGGTTTATTCACACAAAAAACATCTGTTGAGAACCTGTCTGTGTTATGTGATGTGAGTTGCATGGTAGTCAGGGAAGGGCAAATAAGAATGGGTTCTGCTCTCAAGGAGTTCACATTTTGGTCTGGGAAACAGATAAACAGTTATTGCAATACGTATGAAAAGGCTATCAGGAAAAATAAATGGAGATACGTGGAGAGTACATAGAGGATCACCTAACCCAGACTTATGTGAATAAGGATGGCTTTTTTGGAAGGCCTGTTCATTTTGGAATTTGTCTGGCAAAGCATATTTGTGAGGAGAGGAAAAGGTGAGTAAGGTGTGAGGAAGGACACTAGAGACAAGCAGAGTGCATGTATACAGGCATCAGGAAAATTTATTTTATTTGTTATGCAATTATTTTTTCTTTGTATTACTAAGATTAAAATTAAATTTGACAAGTGTTTGTATACCTATTATTCATTTATTGCATTTACTCAATAAATATATATTTAGCACCTACTATGTAGCAGGTGTTTTTTTAGGCTCTTGGGATTCAACTTAAGCAAAACAACTTTAAACAAAAAATCTTTGCTTTGGCCTGGGTAAAGGACAGAAAACAGAAACCAGTAAATACATAACTTTGTAAATGATACAATATGTTAGAAGGTAATAAGTGCTTTAAAAATAAAAATAGAATAAGGAGAATTAGATGTGCAAAATGAGGAGTTTTATCATTTTAAGTATAGTGCTCCAGGGGTAGGCCTAACTGAGAAGGTGACATGTTAGCAAAAATTTAAAGAAGGCAAGGGGGTTAGCCATACAGTTATCTGCAAAATATATGTTCTAAGCAGAAGGACTAGCTGGTGCAAAGACTCTAAAATCAAATGTGCCCCAGGTGTTCAAGTAAAACAGAGTACTGCATGGCTGGAGCAGAATGAGCAAGCAGGGAGAATGGAAGGAAGTGAGAACTAAAGGGGTGAAATGGGCTTGTTGCCTGATCAGTAGAGCCTTACTGATTGTCGTAAGGTCTTTGGTTTTTACTCAGAATGAAATGGCAGTTTTTTGCAGGGTTTAGAGGCATTACATGATCTGAATAAGTAGAGGGATAGGAAGAGAGAGCAGAAGGTAGTGTTTTAACGAGAATGGTCAGGCCTCTCCAGAAAGGCAGTTTTAGGCAAAAATAAGTAAAAGAGAAGAAATAATCTAATGTAGCATCTTTTATAAAAGTGACTGTTTAAAATGCCGTATTAGCACTTTGTTTATTTTAAATATATGGAGATCTTAATTTTGAGCATAAAATTTGTGAATGCTATTTTGTGTTTTTAAGAGGCTGTCCTCCTAAGAAATATCTATATATCTAATCTCTGTTACTTTTTATCTTTCCAAAAGTAAGTTATTATAGATTGGGAACGTGATAAGTGAATCATGGACTTTGCTTTGGTACCAACAGTAACATTAAGAGTGTCATTGAATGTCTACATTAGAGTTGTATGACACTAAAAAAGCAGTAGAACAGAAGACCAGCTAGAATGGTCGGTGATCTGTCTTCAGAGAGGCAATAGGGATTTGGAAAACTTATTCATAAGCCTGTCTCTTCTCTTTTTAATAGTAGAATGTGGCTTTGAATGGCAGTAGCTTTTGAAAGCTTGCTAATTAATTTTAAAACTGCCTTGAAATAGATGATATTGATGTAAAATATTCAAATCAATAATCTAGTTGTTATGTCATTCACCAAAATAGTTGTGAGCTTCTTTGTTAGCTCTGTGTAAGAGCTAAATTTTTAAATCTTAAAATGTTTTGCTGTCATTCACAGTAATGTTCTGGCAGTATCCAAAGGAAACCTGTGTTGATGTCTAACCCATTATATATAGAATCATGATAAGTAATTTCATTTTCTGAGCAATTCCAAATAGTATTGTATTTTTAATTTTATTGTTCATGTGTTTATTGCTAATATATAGAAATATAGTTGATTTTTACGTGTTTATTTTGTATTCTACAGTGTTGCTACACTCCCTTATTTTAGTTCTAAGAGGGTTTTAAAAAATAGTTTATTTGGGATTTTTAATTCTGACGATCATGTCATCTGCAGGTGGGAACAGTTTTATTTCTCCCTTTCTGATCTGATATATGCTTTTTGGTTCCTTTTCTTGCCTTATTGCAAGAACTTGCAGCACTATGTTATGCTAAAGAAGAATGATGAGAAGAACATTCTAGCTTCTCAATCTTGGGGGAAAGCATTAGTTTCTTTCTGTTTTTGTATTTCTAAGGGCTTTTAAAATCATTAATGGGTGCTGAATTTTGTCAGATGCTTTTTCTGCATCAATTGATATGAACATATGATTTTCAAAAAATAACCTGTTAATATAGCGAATTACATTGGTTGATTTTAAAGTGTTGAACCAGCCATACATCCCTCTTGTAAACAGTGGTCATGGTGTACAATTATTTTTATATGTTGCTGAATTCCATTCCTAATATATTTTTAAGGATTTTTGCATCTATATACATGAAGGATATTAGTCTTTAGTGTTCTTTTTTTTTTTTTTCTTCTTTTTCCTTTCTTTCTTTCTTGTACTGGCTGTTTCTCTGTCAACATAGCTGGTGGCTACTGTCACCAGCAGCCACCAGAGGCCTGAACAAAAGAGCACTAGCAGGGGATCCACCTGCATGCATCCTTTCTGAAGCAGCCTTGCAGTCAGGAGTCAGATTGCTGGTACAGCGTCAATGACAACCTCAATGTGAACATTTAAGAGTTTTTAGTACTTACAGACATTGTGGCACATGGCACACCTGGAGGCCACACACCTGGAGGTCAGGGAGTGCAGGGAGACAGAGAGCCTTGAGCAGGAGAGCATGGCAACTAGCAGTATATATTAGGGAATAGGATGTAGATCACTTTAAGTTTAGAAGCCAGTGCTTGAATGGTCCCTTTAGAGGAGGTGGCTGGAAGGCAGGATCCCAGTCTGCTAGGTGGGAGAGATGTCTCCAGCTTGAGCCCCTTGGGTGTGGTGTAGAATTGAAAACTGCATCAAGAGTGACTAAACCCTGCCTCTGAAACAAGAAAGCTAAACCTGCATTCAAAATGGATGCTGAGGCAGCATAAAATTATTATAAAATTATACATTTATTATAAATGATTTATTTTAAAGTAAAATTAAATATGCTGTAAATTTATAAATACACTTGATCCTTGAGCAACATGGATTTGAACTGTGTGGATCTACTTATATGCAGATTTTTTTCCCAACCACATAGAGATTGAAAATACAGTATGCTTGCGATCCGAAAGTCAACCCAGGTTGGAGGTAGAAGTCCAGGTTTCCTGTGTGGTTTCCACTGACAGTGTGTGTGAGGGGAGGCTTGTTGTCAGCCAGTGAGGGTTAATGTCCTGTCTTTTTGTGATACCACTCTTTTTTTTTTTTTTTTTTTAATTTGGAGATAGAGTCTCACTCTGTTGCCCAGGCTAGAGTACAGTGACATGATGTCAGCCCACTGCAACCACCATCCCCCAGGTTCAAGCAATTCTTGTGCCTCATCCTTCTGAGTAGCTGGGACCACACCCGGCTAATGTTTTGTGTTTTTAGTAGAGATGGGGTCTCGCTGTGTTGCCTGGGCTGGTCTCGAACTCCTGTCTTCTAGTGATTCACCCTCCTCAGCTTCCCAAAGTGCTGGGATTATAGGCATGAGTAACCACACCCAGTGTTTTTCTGACACCACTTTTGCAGATATGTTTGAGCATCTCATTATAGCCTCATGAGGTTGGAAATCTAGCCCCCCTGTACTTATCCATTGTTGACATTGGTGACATGGGACCAGTTTTTTTCTGTGATGTTTATCTCAAGTAGAATTGTTATTTTCTATGAGTTTTCTGTCTTCCTGGTCTACCCCTTTCCTAATCCTTTGGCTAGAAAGAGCAGGCTTTTGTTGGGACTTTTTCTCTTTATAGCTGTTGTCATTTGTGGGTTATCATCTTTAGCTCTAATTCTGGGGTGTATGAACCAAGAAGAAACCCCAGAAAACTCAACCATTATGTTGTTTATCAGATCCCAACGTCCTGAGGAAGTTTTTTGCTTCACATTTCAGAGTCGTCTTATGTTTGTTTTATGTATAATGTCTAGGGTTTTAAGTTATACTTAATGGGAAGAATGGGAAATATATCTATTCCATCTTCCCAGAACTTGAAGTCTCCAGAGTAAGCTTTAAAAATGTAAGTCTGTTCATGTCACAGCTTCAACATAAATATCTTCAGTGGACCCCCATTGCCTGCAGGATAAAGTAGAAATTTCTCAATTCTAATACAAGGTCCTTCATTATTATGCATGTATTTGCCTCTCGAGCTTTATCTCTTGTTACTACTCCCTTGTCCAGTGATTCCAGCCATACTGAATCACCCCGTGATGCTCCACTTCCTTCACATACTGTCTTTTTCCTTCCCTTTCTTTTTTCCTTCCCTTTTTAACAAAAAATACAAATTGAAGGCTCCCTTTAGGACCTGCCTGATGAGTAGCCCCAACTTTAATTTGGCTCTGAAGAAAAAAGTATCCAAAATACCTTCAATCTGTCATTCCTCCAGATACTTCTTGAGCAAAGTCTTTGTGTATACAAGTACCCCCCATTAATGACTGGTTATCTTGTGTTTCCCAACAGCAGTGTTCTCCAATATTTTTAAGTTCCTGGAAAAAATGTGACAAATTTATAATTATTGACAACTTCTTTTTAATATTTGCTTCTTTACCATACTCTGAGCTCCTAAAGGTTAGGAAGTAGGTTATAGTAGGTTTTCCTACTACATTCCTAATGCCAAGCTTATTGCCAGTATTGTATAACAGACACTAAATATATATTTGTTGAGTATCAGCAGACAAAAATAAAATTTTTTTAAATAAAAAATTCATACCTCATTTAATATTTTTGTATGAGAAAATAGGATTTTTTTGTTTCCTAAATGAAAAATTTATTATAATCTATAATGTACTTTTGAAACTCTCATTCTTATGTTGCCTTGAGGTTGGGGATATGTGTCTCTGTGTACTGTTTCTGTTTGTCCAACCCTAAACTAACACACACACAGACATACACACACACACACACACACACACATTCTGTCTCTCTCTCTCCTTCCCTCTCTCCCCTGTGAATAGGAGTATTGATAATAAGGGAGCCTGTTTTTACTGATTATAATTAGAAGTAAAGTTTCTTCGCATCTCAGAAGAGTTACATAATGGGAAAAATGAAAATATCCATCTCGTGGATCAGGGAGATGTTTTGGTTGTTCTGCCAACCTCCTGCTGGCCCCAGTCTTAACCCCTTTCCAGTTTATAGTGTTCCACTTTGAATACTGCTTTAATCATGCCCATTTTTGGACCTCAATTCCTATAGCATATATAGGCTGCCACACAATTTGCATTTGATTTTCTACGTTATTATTTTTTAAAAGAGTGTTGCTGTTGTCTAACTTATCTCCTTCAAGACAGAGACCATATTTTATATTTCTTTTCCATGCCATATAGCACCAAGAAAATAACCCCATATGTATGATACCTTCATTAAGTCCTCATTACTAACAAGTTGAATTTTACAGTCCTAAATAGCATCCGTGAGCTAAGAACCATTTAGTTGATATCAGCTAACCCAGTTTCCTAGTACAGCTTTTTCTTTTGAGACAGAGTCTCATTTTATTGCCCAGGCCGGAGTGCAGTGATGCGATCTTGGCTCACTGCAGCCTCCACCTCCTGGGTTCAAGTGATTCTCCTGCCTCAGCCCTTCTCAAGTAACTGAGTTTATAGGTGTGTGCCACACCTAGCTAATTTTTGTATATTTACTAGAGCTGGAGTTTCACCATGTTAGCCCGGCTGGTCTTGAACCCCTGACCTAAGGTGATCTGCCCGCCTCAGCTTCCCAAAGTGCTAGGATTACAGGCATGAGCCATGGTTCCCGGCTTAGTACAGCTTTTTCTATTTGTTCACTATAATTAGTTTTTAACAACTTTATCTAAATGTCATGGCTAATTGTGTTGGATATTTTTAATAGTCTCTGGATTTCTTTCAGAATTTTAGCCATATTTGCTATTTGTTGTAGTGAAAGTAAAGGCTCTGCTGCTTTACCCATTTTATAGTATTTGACCAAAGTTCAAAGCATTCTGGATTTTTCTTGATATGGGGTATTCATCTTTTGGGAATGCAACATTCTGTGTTTTCCAAATTACGAGTGCTGTGTTTCCCTCCATAATGGAGGATTTTATGAAATATTGGAGGAGGGGTTATCTTTTCCAACACTTCTTAATCTAGTACATTCTTTTGTACTTCTCATAATTCACATACTGTTGTTTAAATGAATGTTTTGAGCTTTTTTCACTTTTGAAAAGTGTCTGAAATATAAAACAGGGAAATTTGACATATATTTCTCCAACAACTCCATTGCAAAGCAGCCAAAATAAAATGGCTGTGGTGAAAACTAAAATTAACACTGTATTGAAATAAATCAGTAAAAATATCCTTAAAGCTTTTAGATGCTATCCCATGTGATATCATCTGTTATAAACTTTATATGATAGGGAAATTTTATGAAATACTGAATTTTTTTGTTTCTCAGAGCTGTTGAAATAAGTCAGTAACAATAATTTCTGAAAAAATTGAACATGTCAGAGAGGAACACTTCAAAAGTAGAAGAAAGAAAGTGTGCTCAGAATGGATTACTAAATGTACCATATCGCTACTCTAAATTGATTTTCCTTAACCATAAAATGTAATTAAAATGAACCAGGAAGTGACAGAAGTCAGCTGCTTTACAGACTACATTTTTACTCTTAATTATGAGAAATAACAAAAGTAAATTGATATTTACTTTAGAAATTGTTGAAATCCAGGTCGGGCGTGGTGGCTCATGCCCGTAATCCCAGTACTTTGGGAGGCTGAGGTGGGCGGATCACCTGAGGTCAGGAGTTGGAGACCAGCCTGGCCAACATGATGAAACCCCATCTCTACTAAAAATACAAGAATTAGCCGGGCATGGTGGCAAGTGTCTGTAATCCTAGCTGCTCAGGAGGCTGAGGCAGGAGAATTGCTTGAACCTGAAAGGCGGAGGTTGCAGTGAGCCAATATCACACCATTGCACTCCAGTCTGGGTGACAGAGCAAGACTCCGTCTCAAAAAAAAAAAAGAAAAACAAGAAATTCTTGAAATCCTAAAAATGTTAAAAACTTGAACTAGAAAATATTTAAATGTGTTTGAAAGAAATTAATTTAAATAGAAATATTCCCCTATGAAATGCCAAAATGTGATAAAGTGATAAAATACAGTTTTCTGAATATAAGACTAAACACCATGATTAAGATTAAACACCCTATGATTTTTAGTTTTCTTCACATAAGCATTCATTAATTGATACTGTTCAGATACTATGAAAACCAGTTAATACAACTTTACATCTTCAAAAGTTAACTGTGCTATTAATAACAATACTTTCAAAGTAAGTTTGAAGTCTGTAAGTTTATTGCACTGATACCAGTTATTTATGGAATGTAGTACTATACAATGCATGATACACTAATACATTTAAGTAATTTTTAGACTGCAGATTTCATCTACACAAGTGAATTGCTTTTCCCAATAGGACTAACATATTAACACTGCTTCATTTATTGAAAGCATCAGTCTCAACAGTATGCAACACTTTGTGCACTGGTTCCCACACATTAACGTACAAATGAATGACTTGAGGATACTGTATAGATTCTGCTTCATTAGGTCTTGATTGGGGCTTGATATTGTCCATATCTAAGTTCCTAAGGGATGCTCATGTCACTTGTCTGGGGATGTCACTTAGAGCAGGGATCCCCAATTCTCGGGCCACAGACTAGTACCGGCAGACTGGGCCGCACAACAGGAGGTGAATGGCAGGTGAGTGAGCATTAGCGCCTGAGCTGCACCTCCTGTCAGATCAGCGGTGGCATTCGATTCTCATGGGACCGTGAACCCTATTGTGAACTGCTCATGCGAGGGATCTAGGTTGCATGCCTCTTACGAGAATCTAACTAATGCTTGATGATCTGAGGTAGAACAGTTTCATCCCAAAACCATCTCCCAGCTCCCAGACTCCTGGGCCATGGAAAAATTGTCTTCCACAAAACTGGTCACTGGTGCCAAAAAGGTTGGGTATTGCTGACTCAGAGTAATAATGTGTAAAGAACAGAAAATATCCAGAGCAGAACTGATAATGAATATTGTTTAGATTTCTCTGTATCGCTGACTTCAGTTCTTTCCTAGTTTACTTTTAATACCAGGAACATTTCCTATCAATTTATTACATTTTAAGGCATAGGTTAAAATAAATGATGATGTTGTTTCTTAATATCTCCTCTTATCTGAGAATGTTAAACATTATTTAATAACATTACCATGTAAAGTGGAGAAGTCAGTGCAAGATTTCCTGGGCTCTAGTCTTATCTCTGATACACATTTTGCAATGTGACTAGGCAAATTATTCAACTCCCTGAGTTTCTTCATTGAAAAATAGAAGAATTGATTTAGATCAGGAGTTTTTCAGGTATGTAGTTTTTGGAAATCAGAGTTTATTCTTCAGATAAACAGTGGTGTAACTAGACTGGGTGATTTGGAACCACCCTGTTAGAATCAAAATCATCTTACACAGTAATTTGACTAACATGAGCCTTAGGATGCTTACCAACACTGCAGTAAAACTTGACTTTTTGTTGTTGGTTGGGTTTCTTGTTGCTTGTTAGTTTTAAATTTTTAATTGGTCTGAAGGTGCTGTTTTTGCAAGTATTTTTTTTTCATGATGAATCTGTAAGGCATTTCTGCACATAAATTTTGCACATTTTCACACTGGCATACGTAATTCACCATCTTTACAGTGAACTGATAAGCATTTAATTTGTCAAGAGTCATACTGGTATACACTGTCTGTCAGTAGACCTAACACCAAATTCAAAATACTGATTAAAAAAAAAATTTAGTTGTTTTACCTTAGGTTCAATCATTTGCTTTTATACAGATAGTAAAAGAAACATTGTCTTTTGTTTTTAGAATTGAGTCATTTGGAACAGCAACTTGAAGAAGCTAATGCTGTGAGGCAAGAACTAGATGAAGCTTTTAGACAAATCAAGGCTTATGAAAAACAAATCAAAACGTTACAACAAGAAAGGGAAGATCTAAATAAGGTAAAATATGTGAATAGATCATTAAAGCTTTTTCTCTGTTTTGAATCTTGTATAATAAGAATACTGAAAGCATTCATAATGAATTACAATAATACATAGTATATTTTATCTTTTTAAAAGTTGGTTTAAAAATATAAGGATTATTTTGGTGTATGTCATTTGATGAGTAGCTAGTAATAAACTTTTAAATTGTTGAAGCTTGAAAGTTCAGAATCTTTTGTTCTTTTAGAAAGTTAATAGTCAAAGGACTAGATTAAAAGTGAATGTTATTGAAAAACAAACACAAAGAAATAAGAAAATAGTAGAATCTGTTTAGCATCTGTAGAACAAATTTAAAATACAGGCATATTTTCATTATAACTTACTGATAAGAACATTCTTAAAATATAATTTAAAATTTCTTTGGTTATTTGTTTTAAATGTCAGTTTTTATCTTTCAAAGCAGCATGGGTAAAAAAGCTAAAGCGATTTTCATAAGAACTTTGTATAACATTTAAACATTATTTTAAACATCGAGAAAATTTATTGATAGTTAAGACTCTGTAACATAGCCCAATAGGGTAAATAATATTCAAGCACTAGAGAAAATACTTTTCTTGAACCACATGCTGCTAAGCACTGTGACTTTCATTAATACAAAAATGTTGGGACTAATACTAGCCATTGCAAACAAGAAATCTGTAGTTTATGGCATAGTATAAGTTGTATTCAATAATGTAATATATTAATATAATGCACTGATAATATAGAATGAATGAAATCCCCTGGGGGAAGATTTGAAAGTCTTTGTGCCAGGAAAGAAATGGAGGGAATTAAAAATAAAACAAATAACCTTTAGCTGATGAAACTAATCAAAAGGACTAAAAGAGAACGCTATTAAAGAATAGATTGAAATAGACCAATACATTTTTACTTTCTTCTTAATGCAGTTTCAACCAATTTTTTGTATAGGCCCATTTAAATTCATTGCCAATTTAATAATATTTGTCATTTAAAACAGTTAGTGTTCTATTAACTTTAATAATATTATAGTAATATTAATGGTTTACCATTTTATATTTATTGGTAGGATTACTCAGCCAAATGTAGTTAACATAATGGATATTACGCTTCCTGCTTTCTCCTCTTCTGAGAGAGTTCCTTGGAAATCTAAAGAGAAGGATCTTGGGTTCTTCCTCTAACCCTTTGAAAAGAGGATGAAAATCTGACCGCTAGATTTATAGTGACAGGTAGTCACCAATTTTTAATGTTTTAGCATGAAAAATCCTTTTCATATATTTTGAGAAGACAATAGTGCTGACGAAAAGAAACAGATGATACCGATATAGGATTTTGAGTGATTTGCTTAATATCCTATAGGCATTAGAAAATGATTTTTCTCCACATTCCTTGCCAACACTTGTTATCCTTTGTCTTTTAAAAAAAAAATAGCCATTCCAATAGCTGTGAAGTGACAGCTCATTATGATTTTGGTTTTTACTTCTCTTATGACTAGTGATGTTGAATACTTTTTCATATACCTATTGGCCATTTGTATGTCTTCTTAGAGAAATGTCCACTGAGGTCCTTTGCCCATTTTTTGATTGGGTTAGCAAATATTCTGATTTTTTATAATGCCAAACTGTTTTCTAGTATACCAACTTCCATTTCCACGAGTAGTGTATAGGAGTTTGTGTTCATATTACCAGATTTATTACTTTTGGCCAATCTAGTCTAAATTGAGATTTTAGGTTTTAGAAAATGTTTGGTTGTGGTCTTAATGTGCATTTCTCTAATTACTAATGAGGTCAAGTATCTTCACATGGGTCTATTGTCATTTACATTTCTTTTGTGAAATATTTCTTAATATCTTTGGTTTATTTTTCTGTTGGGTTGTTTTTTTCTTACTGATTATAAGAATTCTTGGAAATATTTGGACATTCTTATCTTTTGTGAGTTATATGTGTTACAAATATCTCTCAGTGGCTTATCTTTTTGCTTTTAGGAATCTTTTTATTAAAAAACGTTCTTAGGATTATTGTGGCCAGATTTATCAATATTTTTATGGTTAGTGTATTTGCTGTCTTATATAAAAAAATCTGAGATTTTAAAAATTTCTCCTAAATTTTTATCTTAAAGTTTTAAAATTTTAGAGTCTGTATCTCAACTATGTTTTAAAAACTGTGAAGATGGAATTTTGATTAAAATTACATTTGATCTGCTGAGCATCGTGACTCATGCTTGTAATCCTGGCACTTTTGAGAGGCCGAGGCAGGAGGATCACTTGAGTCCAGGAGTTTGAGGCCAGCCTAGGCAACAACAGAATGAGACCCAGTCTCTACAAAAAATAAAAAAAATTAGCCTGGTGGTGCACGCCAGTCATCCCAGCTACTCAGGATACTGAGGCAGGAAGTTCACTTGAGCCTGGTAGATCGAGGCTGCAATGAGCCATGATCATGTCACTGCACTCCAGCCTGAGCAACAGAGCAAGACCCTATCTCAAGAAAAAAAAAATGCATTGAATTTATAGATCAATTTAGAGAGAATTAACATCATTACAATATTGTCTTTAAGTTCTTACTATATATATTTATTACTGTTTTTCTGAATATATACACAGATTATTTCCAGAATAGAATGGACTGTTATTACTTACATACAGCAAGGAATAACTACATGGCTCCCTTCTATGCTAAGTCTTACCTCAAGAGAAATACCCTGAGAGCTGGCAGGATAAAACCCTACACAGAAGGAATCTGTATTGTAAATGAGGAGCCTTGAAAACATTTATCCAGGTGTTTACATAGAGAAAAGAAGCAACTGCTTCCTGCTTTCTCCTCATCTGAGAGAGTTCCTTGGAAATCTAAAGAGAAGGATCTTGGGTTCTTTCTCTAACCCTTTGCAACATAGATAAATATTTCCACTGTAAATATAAGCCCAGAGTCTTCTGCTCTATCAAAGGAAGCCCCCTTGGTCTAGGCTCCTACTCTCTGCCACCCCACCTTGTAATGTAAACACATAACCTCCAGAAGGTAAATCTTAGTTTTCTCCCTGCTAAATCAGTTATAAGTTACTTTTTAAGACTTTCATTTAGCCCAGGTTTTGGTAAAATTTGTTCAGAAGGGACAAACTGCAAAAACATGAAAGTTTCTCTGCATTCCTAAAGTCTTTTTATTCGTAAACATATCGCTCCATATATTTAAAGTTCTTTTAAAATATTCTTCCATAAAATTTCGTACAGAAAAGACTTTCATTTCTTTCCTTGTTTTACTGTATTAGCTAGAACCTCAGTACAATGTTGACTAGAAATGATAATAGCAGGCATCCCCATCTTGTTCCCCAATTTTAAAGAAATTGCCTCTGATATTTCATCACTAATAATGTTTGCTGTAAGTTTTTAATAAATAATTTTTATCAGGTTAAAGAATTTACCTTCTATTCCTATTTTGTTAATAGCTTTTTATTTAGAATGGGTATTGACTTTATTCAATGTGCCCTTCTGTGCTCTATTGATATGATTATATGTTTCTTATCCTTCAATAAGTTGGTGTGGTGGACTACATTTGTAGACTTAGTTTCTAATATTAAGTCACTGTTATATTTCTGGGTTAAGCCCAAATTTCTTATAATACTGTGATAGTATAGATAACATTTATGTAGCAAATATCTGTTCTAATAGCACTGTTGTGAAAGCTTTACATATGTTAAATTATTTAATCTCCATCACAGCCCCATGAGTTAGGTGATATCATTATTATTCTCATTTTATGAATGGTGAGACCAAGCACAGAGAAATTAGTTCACTTGCTCAAGGTCATAGAAATAGAAAGTGGTGGAGCTAGATTTTTAGCACAAGGAGTTTAGCGCCAGACTTCATGCATATCTACTTCATAAATTTTTAAAAAGGATTTTCACGTTTCTTTTTATAAGTGAGATTGGTGTGTTATTATTTTTCCTCTTTCTTTTCTTTTCTTTTTTTTTTTTTGATATTCAGATTATACTGGTCTCATAGAAACAGTTGAATTGCATTGGTTCTTTTTCTCACGGACCAGTGAGTTGTTTATAAGTATCTTTTAAAATTTTCAGTGTATGGAGTTTTATTTTTTTTGTTGACTTCTAATTTAGTTGCAGTGTCATTACAGAACTTGCTCTACATAATATCTGTTCTTTGAAATCTACTGAGACTTGCTTTGTGGCCTAGCCTGTTCCATTTTTAAAACATTCAATATGTGTTCTTGAAAATAGTTTGTGTTCCAATTTAGAGAGCAAGCTTCTGTACATGAAGCTTGTTAATTGAGCTTTTCAGATCGTCTTTATATTCACTGGTTTTTTTGCCTGCTTGGTTTATCTATTAATGACTAAGAAATTAAAACTTTTCATTATAGTGATGTTTACCAATTTTTCTCTGAAGTTGTAACAGTTTCTTTTTAATGATTTTGAGACTATCTTATAGAATGCACAAAAGTTTAGGATAGTATTTCTTCTTAGTGTATTGAATTTTATCATTATGTAGTGACATTCCTTATCCTTAATAATACTTTTTCTATTGAAGTCAAGATTTCATTTATTAATCCAATATAATAGATGGCCTTTAACTGGTGATTACTAATGTATATGGATATGTTTCTACTATCTTATTTTTTGTTTTCTGTTTGTCATGATTTTTGCATGCTGCTTTTTATTTCCTTTCTTCCCTTCTCAAAAGTTTTTAGCTGTGGTAAAATACATGTAAGATAAAATTACCATCTAAACAATTTTCAAATGCACAGTTAATTAATGTTCAGTATATTTACATTCTTATGCAGCAGTCTCCAGAATTCTTTCTGTTTGCAAAATCATTTCTTTCTTCTTCACTGACATTTGTTGTTGCTGTTGTTGACATTTTACTTTACTCTCTAGTCTTTTGGTGGTTACTCTTGGCTTCTACCATGTGTATTAACCAAGTTTAAGTTGAAATTAAATATCTTAAAACTATTTCCCAGAAACAATTTAAAGAGGTTTAATTTTACAGATTGAGTATCCCTTATCTGAAATGCTTGGGACCAGCATTCGGATTTTGGAATATTTGCATTATACCAGTTGAGTATTTCTAACCTGAGAATCCAAAATCTGAAATGCTCTAGTGAGCATTTCCTTTGAAAATCATGTTGGCTCTCAGACAGTTTTGGATTTTGAAACATTTCGGATTTCAAATTTTTTGGATTCGGGATATTCAACCTGTATTACCTCTTTATAACTTTCTTTATGTGTTGTTATTGGCCAGTATTTTAGCTGTATCTTTTGTTTACTGTACAAAGTTAACATTTTTATAGTATAATCTTATATATACACTTGTTTACATTCACATTCACGTTAACCATTTTATTAGCTATTCATTTCTCTTGCATTAGATCTCTAAAATCATTTTTTTCTTCCTGAGATAAAGCTTTACTGGTTCCTTTAGTGCAGATCTGATTATGGTAAGCTCTGCCAGTTTTTGTTTATATGAAGCCTCAGACTTGAAAAGTAATTTTTTGGGTATATAATTTTAATTATCTTCTCATGTCTTTGAAAATATTTTACCCTGTTTCTGTTGCTGTTGTTACTTCTTCAGTTTATGTTCTTAGTCTAATTTTCCTCCTCCCACCTTATTTGAGGATGGGGAATAGGTGATTTGTCTTTTTGTCCCTCTGATTTCTTTACGGTCTTTTATTTCTCTTTGGTATTACCAAAGAGTGTTGTTTTTTGAACACGTCTGGTTAGGGTTTTTAATTTTTTTTCTTGATTCATAAATGTAGAGCTTCCTCTAGTGATTGATGCATGTCTTTAATTTTAACATTTATATTTTTTCTTCTTTTTTTTTTTTTTTTTTGAGGTGGAGTCTCACTGTATTGCCCAAGCTAAAGTGCAACTGAGTGATCTCACCTCACTGCAGCCTCAGCCTCCTAGGCTGAAGTCATCTTCCCATCACAGTAGCTAGACCTATAGGCGCACACCGCCATACCTGGCCTTTTTTGGTTTTTTTGGCATTGTTATTTTTTGTAGAGATGAGGTCTCACAATGTCACCTAGGCTGCTCTTGAACTCCTTGGCTCAAGCAATCCTCCTGCCTCAGCCTCCCAAAGTGCTGGGATTATAGATGAGACCAACTGGGCCAACCTTAACGTTTTCTGTTTCTAAATGTTCCATACAGTTCTTCTATAAATCTGCTTGGTCATTTTTAATAGCCTTTTGTCATTTTTTCATTTTTATTATTTCATCTTTTATTCCTTTAAACATTTCATATGTAGCAATTTTGTGTTGATATCTAATGATTTTAATACCAAGATACCTTTGATGTTTATTTTTATTGTTTTGTTATTTGATTGTGGTGCTTTGTTCTTTGAGTAATTTGGAATCTGTGATTGTGAGCTCATTCTTGTTTGTTCTTAATATGTGAAAAATTCAGATTTCATTGCAGTTCTTTCCCCCAAATAAAATCTGCATTTCCTTTTGCTGGGAGGCAGGTAGTGGTACTGCCCTGAGTCCACTTTAGCTCTCCTCTAAGTTTCTCACTTCAATTAGGGAGTCTCCGGTTTAGTTTCTGTCTCCTTGCTTCTGGCTTGAGGCGTAGCCTCCATGTCAAGGGCAATGCTTGTTTTTTATGAAAACAACCTCACAAATATTTATCAAATTTTACAAATATTTATTTTGACCATCATATCGTTTATTCCTAAACTTTTTCCTCATTTGTGGAAATTAAGGTACTATCAGGTTAAATTAGCAGTTCCCGTGCATTTACTGTAGTAGCATAAGGAATTGAGACCATATCAGGACACCATTCCGTTAAGAAGTAGTTTATTTATGTCAAGACACCATGCTGTTCAGAAGTAGTTTATTTTAATTTGTCCTAAGGTGAATAATTTTGGCTCTTCTTGACTTAATAATAGCTATTCTGATGGCCAAATTTGGTCTCTAGGTTGCAGAATTGGTAACTTATATTCTTTTTACAAAACTGTAGGAACTAGTCCAGGCTAGTGAGCGATTAAAAAACCAATCCAAAGAGCTGAAAGACGCACACTGTCAGAGGAAACTGGCCATGCAGGAATTCATGGAGATCAATGAGCGGCTAACAGAATTGCACACCCAAAAACAGAAACTTGCTCGCCATGTCCGAGATAAGGAAGAAGAGGTGGACCTGGTGATGCAAAAAGTTGAAAGCTTAAGGCAAGAACTGCGCAGAACAGAAAGAGCCAAAAAAGAGGTTAGTAGTCAGGCAAATTTTGTAGTGCCCATGGGATAGTGATTAAAGCTACTTTTTAAGACTAGTGATATCATATATGATTTTTTATTTAATATTTTTTAAAGTTATTTTTATAGTTTGTTAATATTATTTAATATGGATTTAAACATTTGAATTATCTTCCCGTTACAAGGTAAATTCTCATTGGGATAAATGTTTTGTTTGGAAAAAGATTATAACCATGAAATCTGCTTTTTTCATTCTGTTTTAAAGCTGGAAGTTCATACAGAAGCTCTAGCTGCTGAAGCATCTAAAGACAGGAAACTACGTGAACAAAGTGAGCACTATTCTAAGCAACTGGAAAATGAATTGGAGGGACTGAAGGTATCTTTTGACTTCACATTTATGAAGCTTAATTAATTTTCTTCTCTTTAGGCTTGTTAGGAGTGTTAGCTTATACACTGTATTCGGTGTGCAGTGAAAACTAGTCATTCTTCAAACCTAGTATTCATAATTCTCGTTCTTACCAGTAGGAAGCTGATACTGATTTCTTAATTATGCTGAAGAAAATGGAGGATATGTTTAGTGGGAAACATGAATCTGTCAGGAAGGAGTTAGAATGTTTATGAAGGACTGCCTGCCTACCCAAGATGTACTGGTAATCTGCATGGGAGTCATGGTTAGATATCCAGAACCTCTCTGTATCTCATAAACGACTCAGGAGAAGCTCAGGGGTAGCTTTGCAGACACTTGTGTTTGTTAGGATAAGATGATAATGATCATAGTCTTATCTCAGCAGAAGGTGCTTTGCAAGGGAAATCCTTGAGCCGTTCTGGAGTCAGACTACCTATTCTTAACTTCTTGCTTCACCAGTCACTAGCTGTGTAACATGTAATATTGGACAGAACGTTATGGGGCCGGGCACAGTGGCTCATGTCTGTAATCCCAGCATTTTGGGAGGCCGGGATGGGCGGATCACCTCAGGTCAGGAGTTTGAGACCAGCCTGACTAACATGACGAAACCCCATCTCTACTAAAAATACAAAATTAGCCACGCGTGGTGGCGCACACCTGTAATCCCAGCTACTCAGGAGGCCAAGGCAGAAGAATTGCTTGAACCCGGGAGGTGGAGGTTGCAGTGAGCCTAGATTGCACCATTGCACTCCAACCTGGACAACAAGAGTGAAACTCTGTCTTAAGCAAAACATAACAACGTTTAACCTCATTATATTTTAATTTTCTCATCTATAAAACTACTTCATGTCAAGAGTGCATACGTACATTTGTAAGCTGACACATTATAAGTGTTCAGTAACTGTTAGTGTAATAATGGTATCATGTATATTACAATGAGTGAATTAAGATCAAATTGACATGATATTTTTACCATACTAAGTAATAGTCTGAATGTGGTATCTGCCTTTTATCTTTTTTGACTCCAAACTTTTTCCATCCTGTTTCCTCTTCTATACCTGTCAGGCCCCATTTCACCTACTTCTTTTAGGACCATGCTTAGTCTACTGTCCAATTATCCATAAATGTAAGAATCGTACTCCTTAAAATCTACATACTCCTGTACTGCTTCTTGGAATTCTGTTAATACCTGTAGCTTAGCTCTTATTGTAATTATTTATTTGCAAATCTGTATATTTCCAGCTAAACTGTGACCTAGCTTATTGAAAATACAGACAGGTATATTGTTAATTTGGCCCTGGCAAAGGACCATATATTTAATACTTGTTTAATAAACCTGTTAAGTTAATGAATGAATCATGTGGTAGAATTGGTCAGAACTTACTTTTTCTCTGACAATTGAATTTCAGTGGTTGCAAGTCAAATTCCTTTGCTATAAATGGAAATATAAACTCTTGATTTTATTCTTGTTTTTGTTTTGGGAGTTTGTTTTAGTTCATCATGAATTCGTAGTCCTGGTTACCTTTATGAAGTAGAGATGTGTCTTCTATATACACCTGTACCTCTAGAGCAGGATTAGTATATAGAAGTAATGACATCACCATCCCAGATACTTTTCAGTCAGGGCCTGCTTTGTTTCCAGCACTATTCTAGGAGCTTTGGGTGGTAAGAATAATAAAGTACAAACTAGAATCTTAGGCATTATTTTTATTTGAGAAAATTGAGGGTCAGAAGAGTTAAATATTTTATAGTCATAAGTGATAGAGTACAATGTAAACCCAGGTTTTCTAACTTTCATTCACATATTTTATCTAATAGTTTGCTTTTTATTTTTTTCTACAATAAACATTACTGCATTGGAAACTGTATCATGTTTACCTACTTGCCAAACACATCTCTGTGTCGTCTATAAATTTGAGATAATATAACACCTACTAGTTAATGCATTTAACATGTATAGGCCAGAACCTGGCACATAGTAAAGGGTTAAAACATATTTTGGCTGTTTTAAAGATAGTAGGAATCTTCACTTCATTGAGAATACTTTTGACAGACTTAAAGAGAGAAATAGCCCTACAAAAAGAGTTAAAGACTTCAATATCTCACTTCCAATAATGAATAGAACACACACACACAAGGTCAATAAGGATATTGAGGTCGTGAACACCACTATAACCAACTAGACCTAACAGATACAGAGTCAGCCCTTCATATCCATGAGTTCTGTATTCGTGGATTCAACCAACCATGGATCAAAAATATTTGGAGGAAGAAAATTAGATGGGTGCATTTGTATTGAACAGGTACAGATGATTTTTCCTGTCATTATTCCAAAGGTAAAAACTGCTTATATGGCATTTATATCACATTAGGTATTGTAAGTACAGATCATCACGTTTTAATCAGCCACAGACTGCATATACAACAATGGTCCCTTAAGATTATAACGGAGTTGGAAAAATTCCTGTCACCTAGTAATGTCTTGATGATCTTGAACCTGTGTAAACCCTATATTAATGTGTGTGTTTGTGTCTTAATTTTTAACAAAAACATTTCAAAAGTAAAACAAAAATTTTACAAATGAAAAACACTTATAGAAAATGGATATAAAGAAAGATAGCTGGGTGCGGTGGCTCACGCCTGTAATCCCAGCACTTTGGGAGGCTGAGGTAGGTGGATCACTTGAGGCCGGGAGTTCGAGACCAGCCTGGCCAACATGGTGAAACCACGTCTCTACTAAAAATACAAAAATAAACTGAGCGTGGTGACACACGCCTGTAATCCCAGCTACTCTGGTGGCTGAGGCATGAGCATTGCCTGGACCTGGGAGGTGGAGATTGCAGTAAGCTGAGATTGTGCCACTGCACTCCAGCCTGGGTGACAAGAGTGAGACTCTGTCTCAAAAAAAAAAAAAAAAAAGAAAAAGAAAAAGATACATTTTTGTACATCTGTACAATGTGTTTGTGTTTTAAGTGTTACTACAGAAGAGTTCAGAAAGTTTTAAAATAGTAAATAGCTTATAAAGGTACAGTAAGCCAAGTTTATTATTGGATAAATAAAATGTTAAAAATAGTGTAGCCTAAGTATAAAGTGTTTATCAGGTCTCCAGTAGTGTACAGTAATGTCCTAGGCCTTCACGTTCACTCACCAGTCACTAACTCATCCATGCCAACTTCCAGTCCTGTAAGCTCCGTTCATAATACTTTACATGACATACCAGTTTTTATTTTTATACCATACTTTTGTGCCATATTTATACGCAACATATCATTTTTTGTCTTTTATATCATATTTTTACTGTATCTTTTCTATATTTAGAGACACAAGTATTTACTATTGTGTTACAGTTCCCTGCAGTATTCAGGACAGTACCATACTGTACAGGATTGTAACCTAGGAGCAACAGGCTATACCCTATAGCCTAGGTGTATAGTAGACTGTGCCATCTAGGTTTGTGGAAGTACAATTTATGTTCACACAAGGACAAAATCACCTAATGAGATGCATTTCTCAGAACATATCCCTGTCATTTAGCAATATGTGACTGTTATCTAGAGGTGATTTAAAGTTTATGGGAGGATGTGTGTAGGTTGTATGCAAACACTGTACCATTTTATATATGAGACTTGAGCATCCATGGATTTTAGGTATTCAAGTAGGGTCCTGGAACCAGTGCCCTATGGATACTGAGGGACAACCATGTATAGAACTTTTCACCCAACAACAGCAAAATGTACATTCTTTTAAAGTACACATGGCAGATTCTCCAGGATAGACCATACGTTAGGCCAAAAAACATCTTAGTAAATGGAAGAAGATTGAAGTCGTATAAGGTATCATCTCCAACTACAATGAAATGGAGCTAGAAATCAATTACAGGAAAAGAAAAAAACCTGGAGTGTTCAAAAATATGTGGAAAGTAGTGAACACACTCTTAAGCAACCATAGGTCAAAGAATAAATCACCAGGGAAATTAGAAAATACATGAATGAAAATGAAAATACAATACACCAGAACTTACAGGATGCCATAAAGGCAGTGCTGAAGAGAGAAATTTATAGCTATAAATGCCTGTATTAAAAGGAAAGGGAAGAAAGTAAAAATCAGTAACCTAACTTTATACCTTAAGGTACTAGAAAAAGAAGAGCAAACTGAATCCAAAGATAGCAGAAGAAATGAAATAATAAAGATTAGGGCACAGCTAAATAAAATAAAGACTAGAAAATAATAGAATCAATAAAATGAAAAGTTAGTTGGTTATAAGTCAACAAAATTGGCAAACCTTTAATTAGACTGACCCCTTGCCAATAAAAAGAGCTAAAGAGGGAGAGACATTGCAAATCACTAAAATCAGAAGTATAAGGGAAAATTTTATTACTTACCAACAGAAAACAAAAGAATTATAACAGGAACAACTGTATGCCAACAGAGTAGATAACTAGATGAAATGAACAAATTCTTAGAAGGATACAAATAACCCAGTATGACTCATGGCAAAATAGAAAATCTCTGCAGACCTGTAACAAGTAAAGACATTGAATCAGTAATCAAAAACCTTCTGACGGACCCTCACGCACTCCACAACCCCATTCCAGCAGCTTATTAAAAAAAGACAGTCAACCTTCTGATAAAGAAGAGTCCAGGACCACACCAGTTCACTGATGAATTGAACCAAACACTTAAAGAAAAATTAACACCAATCCTTCTCAAACTCTTTTTTGAGAAGGCACCTGTAGTCCCAGCTACTCCGGGGGCCAAGGCAGGAGGATCACCTGAGACTTCGGAGGTCGAGACTATAGTGAGCCATGATCAGGCCACTGCACTCCAGCCTGGGTGACAGAGTGAGACCCTGTCTCAAAAAGAAAGGTACTTGAGACTTGAACTTAAAATAAATTCACCCAAGTTGCAGGCTGCAAGATCAACACACAGCAATCAGTTGTGTTTCTATAAGCCAGCAACGAACAATCTGCAAAGAATGTTAAGAAAGCAATTCCACTTAACAATTGCGTCTGAAAGAATAAAATACCTTGAAACAAATTTAACCAACTAAAAATGACAGAACATTGCGGAAAGGAATTAAAGAAAATCTAAATAAATTGAAAGACATCTCTTGTTTATGACTAGGGGAATTTAATATTGTTAAGATGCAGTACCTAAAGTTATGTACAGCTTCAACTCAGCCCCTATCAAAATTCAGAGTCTTTTTTGCAGAAATAAAAAGCTGATCCTCAAATTCATATGGAATTGCAAAGGACCTGGACAGCCAAAACTATCATAAAAAAATGGACAAAGTTGGAGGATTCGTACTTCAGAACTTATTGCAAAGTTACAGTAATCAAAACAATGTGGTACTGTCATATACATAAAACTCTCTGCACAGTAAAAATTTTACTTTTTAAAGTATTTTCAGCAACCATGTAACCAGTTTATCATGCATCCCTTAATTTTTATCTTGTTTCTTTTTAAAATTGTAGAAGATTTGTTGGTTTTTCTCAGTGTTTCTTCTGTCGCTTCAAAGCTTGGCTTGTCCTCCTCTCAGAGTTTTGATAAGTATTTCATTCTGCTTTCTTTTGGATGTTTGTTGGGTCTAAAAATAATTAACTGTTTAATCTGTTTGGAGTTTGTTTTGCTAAATGGTGTGACATGAGATTCATTTTTGTTATTTTATTGCTAGCTGGTGATTCCAATTTCATTTATTAATCATTACCTTACCTAGTGACTGAAGATGTCTCATATATTGAATTAAATTATTTTGGGAAGCAGATCTGTCACAGTGATACTTTAGTGAAGAGTTATAGTATGTTTTAATATTTTAAAAGTGTATTTTCCCACTCACCCCTTGGTATTTTCTTTGACATTTTTATTTTTACCAGTTTATTCTTATCCACGGAGTAGAAACATGTCTCCGTGCCCTTCTATCCCCACATTTATAAAGAACTTTTAATTAGAATTATGTGGAAGATAACATGAAAAATATTGAATACATGTCCATTTAATCTTCCCTTTTAAATAGTTTGTTTCAATACTTTTAGGTTTTTTTCATATAAATCAGAAATTTCTCACTGTTATTCTTCAGTTAACAATGAAATTTTTGTTGTTTATTGCTTATTTTAATATCCGGAAGTATTGATTTGTGTTTATCTTATATGCCATTGCTTTACTCTATCGATTCTAACACATTTCACTAGATTTATTTGTGTTTTCTAGGTGAACAATTAAATAGAAATGATAAAGATGTTATTTTTCTTTACAATATTCATATTTTTAACTATTTTACATGTTGGTGAGAGAGACTGTTTTACATGTTGGTCTGAAATGAATGTTGCATAAGAGTGATAATGGAAGACATCCTTTTTGTTGATGTTTCTGAATTTACTCAGTGTATCTCTAATGGCTCACCATAAATAGTATTTGGATAGCTCAAAATGGATACTTTTAAATTAAAATAATTACTGTATTATTTTTTATGTGATGGTTTTATTGTGGGACTTAGGGTAGTATTTGGAATTATTACTGGATTTTATAAAATGCTAGTAGGGGTACATTCTGAGATTATCCTTTGGATTTTAAAATTTAGTCTATTAAAATAATTCATTTTATGACACAGTTATTAATAAGTTTGCTGACATTAAATTATCTTCAGTGCCTGCAGTAAAACCTATTATTTCTTGGTAGGTTTTTCTTTTTTACAGATGGGTTAATATCATTTTCATAGCGATGCTTAAGAGCAAGAATCTGCCTTGCTCTGGTTCTTCTCAAGTTAAGCAGACTTTTGCATGTTAGGCTGCCTAATAAACCACTGGACAATCTGGATCTGGCACATGAAAAATATTTTTTCGATGAATGGTTAATATTGCACTGGACACACCAGGGCTATTTCTCTGGCCCACATCACTTCCTTTGCTCTTTTTAAATTATATACTTCAAATATGAAGGGGTCAGGGTATTTTTCCTTCTACTTTAAGTCAACTACGCTTACCAGTTTTATTGCCCTTATGACTGACTTCAAAAAAGAATACACTGACCTCTAGATCTTGATTCTTTGTTGTCCCTAAACTTAAGTGCATAGGTTCTTTTAGTTTTAAAAGTTTTATTGCAACTGGGGAGACAGATAAGATATAACAAATTAATGACCTTTGGAAAATTACAAAGCTTAGGAAATCTTACAGTCATAATCTGTAGTCTGTATGTTTCTGTTTACCCTTTAGGCAGTACCTGGAAGAATCTTTGGACTTTACATTTTCTTTTCTTTCTTATTACTGAGAGGATATTTCAGCCTTATTTCTAAAAAGGTAGACTTCAACCCAATTTCTTCTCCTTCTTAATCATATCTGAAAGTGAAGAGACCTACCTTTTTTTTTTTTCTAGTGTAGATATGAAGGAGATGTTAGTTTAGACCTTTGCCATTTCTCACAGGACTGTTGCGAAAGGTTTCTGTCTTTATTTTTGTACATTCTACTCTACCATTCCTTTGCCCATTTTAATTTTTTTAAGACGCAGATGTCCTTAAAACTTTTTATCAGTTCCTCTTCAGATTTAGGATGCAGTTAGATTTTTCTCTCACTCTATATACCAACAATAATTCTAAATAAATTAGAAATTTAAATGTAAAGCAAGAAATCATGTAAGTCCCGGCTAAAAATTTGACTAAATATGTAATCTGTGTGTGAAGAAAACTTAAAAGTAGCAGCAAAGACAGACTATTAAGGAATGTAAACTGAGGAAAATATTTGCAATATATAGCAGACAAAAAGTTAGTAGACTTTATATAGAATTTTATTTTTGTTAAGATGTACAAAAAATGCAGTTACATGAATACTCATTTATATTACAGAAAGAAGTTATTTAATATTTTATTATTCTTATAGATGCACTAATCTTTAGTTATTACTTCTATAGCAAAAACAAATTAGTTACTCACCAGGAATATGCAGCATAGAACATCAGCAAGAGATAACCAAACTAAAGACTGATTTGGAAAAGAAAAGTGTCTTTTATGAAGAAGAATTATCTAAAAGAGAAGGAATACATGCAAATGAAATAAAAAATCTTAAGAAAGAACTGCATGATTCAGAAGGTCAGCAACTTGCTCTCAACAAAGAAATTTTGATTTTAAAAGACAAATTGGAAAAAAACAGGAGAGAAAGGTAAGAATCACCTTATTTACTATACAGTAAATACTTATTGAGTACCTGTTTTGTGTCAAGTATTGGAGATACATAGACAATAAACATATCTTAGACCTAAAGGAGACCAAAATCAGGATTGGCAAATAGTAAATTATAATATAGCATGATAGAAAAGCGAATGGGATGATAACTATAGGAGTACATATAGGGAAGGCACAAAAGATAACTTTGGTACATCTAGGCTTTCTGAACAAAATTACTTCTAGCTCGGCATGATGGCACACACACACATACCTGTAATCTGAGTTACTTAAGAGGCTGAGGCAGGAGGCTTACTTGAGCCCAGAAGTTCAAGCCCAGCCTAGGCAACGTAGTAATACCGTATCTCTACCAGGAAAGAAAAAGAAAAAAAAAAAAATGATAAACTTCGAAGCTGAGATATAATTAGTGAGAAAGAAGTAGCTAGGGAGGAGTGTCCAGGGAGGATGTGCTAAGATCTAAAGGAAAAGGAGGACTTGCCACATTCAGAAAATGAAAGATGTTTACTATGACTGAAACATAAATAGATGGGAGTGGTGAGAAATAAAGCTGGAAAGTAAAATAGACGCAAAGTCATAACAGAGTACAAGGCATTTGCACATTATCCTCAGGCCATTGAAGGAAGAGGACATGATTATATTTACATTTTTGAATGACCACTCTTGCTACTGTGTGGAGAGTGAAGTGGGAGGAACAGTCTGAAGGTACGAATCCAGGTTGGAGAGATGAGGTGTGGGCCTCAGGTGGTGATAGTGAAGATGGAGAGAAGTGGATGGATTCCATCTACTGAGAAGATAGAACCTGGAGAACATAATAAGCAGCTGTGAGAAATGAGGGAGCAGAAGAAATTGTCAGTTATACTCAGCTTTCTGGATTTCAGGAAACTGAATATATGTTGCTATCATTCTCAGCTTATATTGGAAGCCCGAGTTTATTCAGTTTGTTGCATTTATTCATTCAGTAATATTTTTTAACCTACCGTGTGTGACACACTGTTGTAGGGACTGGTACAAAAAGACAATGACAATGAAAAAAAATTCCTGTCCCATAGAGCTTTCTATAAGTAAAACATAGAATATATCAGATAATGATAAATGCTAAGAACAAAAAATTAACAGGGAATAGGGTCTATGAAGCATTCGGGGGAGGATTAAATTATATAAATACAGGATGGCCAGGAAAAACGATACTGAGAAGGTGATTGATTTCTCAGTTAAAGACTAAAAAAAGGTATTTATACAGATGTATGAGAAGAGCATTCTACATGGAGAAGAGTAAGTTTTTTTACAAAATAGTGAGGAGGCCAGTGTGCCTCAAGTAGAATAAAGGGAGAAGAATAGTAGAGACAAGTGAGAGAGGCAACAGGGGCCACATCATGTAAAGCCTTGAAAGTCATGTTTAGTGGATGCATAGTTTCTTATTCTGAGTAAAACTATTGCAGGAAATTACAGTCGTGCATCGCTTAACACCAGGGATATTTTCTGGGAAAGGTATTGTGATGTGATTATATATAAGATTTTTTTTAAAAAAAGGGTACACCTATATAAGGCACTTACCATAAATGAAGCTTACAGGACTGGAAGTTGCTCTGGGTCAGTCACAACTACAAGGTGTTCAGGGACAGTTACACACATGGAATTGTCATTTCCTATAACAACAATGCCTTCTTCGGGAATACTTCCTGAAGGACCTGCCTGAGGCTGTTTTGCAGTTAACTTTAAAAAAAAATATTAAGTAGAAGCTGTATACTCTAATGATAAGAAGTATAATATAGTAAATATATAAACCAGTAACGTAGTCATTTATTATTAAGTATTATGTACTATACATAATTGTATGTGCTATACTTTTATACTGCCAGCAGCGCAGGTTTGTTTACACCGACATCACTACATACACGTGAGTAATGCTTTACGTTAGTACTTTAAGACAGTTACAGTATCACTAAGTAATAGGAATTTTTCAACACCACATAGTGTTCCCATAAGATTATAATAAAGTTGAAAAATTTACACAGTTATGGACTAATACATTATGGACTAATGGCAGTCCATAGTTGATCAAAATGTCATTATGCATTACATGACTATATTGTAGAATTCTGAGCAGAAAAGCGACGACTGATTTGTGTTTTAACAGGATCACTCTGAATAATAGGTTAAGAGTAGTCTGAATTAGGTAAGAGCAAAAGCAATGAGACCACTTAGAAGACGACTGAAGTAATCCAAGCAGATGACAGTGGCTTTGGCCTAGGGTAGTGGCAAAAGGGATAAGAAGGGTTTGAATTTTAATGATCTTTAAAGGTAAAGATAGCAATGTATTGGTGGACTAGATATGATATGAGGGAGAAAAAGGAAGACTCAAGAATGATACTAAGGTTTTTGGTCCAAGTGGTTGGAAGAATATATTACTAGAAAGGACGACTACAGGAGAGGCAAGTTTGGGATTGGGAGTATTATCAAGGGCACATTTTTCCCCCAACAAGACTCTTTCATAAACAGAAAGAGCTCATTTTAAGCAGTTACAGTTGAGATGCTTATTAGACATTCAGTTGGAGATGTCAAATAGGCTGATGTATAGACCAGCCTGGATTTGGGGGAGGGAGGTAAAATCCTGAGAATATGATCACTTCCATGGCATTTAAAGCTCTGAGACCGTATGAAAACACTTAGTGAATGGGTATAGATAGAAAAAAATTTCCTAGCACTGAGCCTTGGGGTACTCCAATTTTTAGAAGTTGAGAGACGAGGAAGAACCAGCAAAGTGGATAGAGAAAGGGCAGTGAGAATGACAGGAGAATAACAGGCAAATTTAGTGTCCTCATGTTGGCAGCGGCAAATCCATATGCATTTGCAGCAACCTCAGTTCTTGCCTCCTCAGAATAAAGAATTAGACCAAGGGGCATAAGACAGAGGGAGAGACCGAGGCAAGTTTTAGAGTAGGAGTGAAAGTTTGTTAAAAAGCTTTAGAACAGGAATAAAAGGAAGCAAAGTACACTTGGAATTGTGCCAAGTGGGTGACTTGAGAGATTCAAGTGCATGGTTTCACCTTTGACTTGGTGTTTAACCTTTGACTTGGCATGCTTCTGTGGAGTTGCATCCCTTCTCTGATTCTTCCCTTGGGGTGGGCTGTCCGCATGCACAGTGACCTGCCAGCACTTGGGAGGGGCTGCATGCACAGTGTGTTTACTGAAGTTGTACACGTGCTCACTTGAGGCATTCTTCCCTTGCCAGTCTAGTGCTCCTAGAAGAAGGTCATATGCCACCATTTAAACTCCACCATTTTTTCTCTTAGTGTATATGCTTGGAGCCCACTTGCCTAACTCCTGAATCTTATTGGGAAGCTGCTGATCACATTTCAGGTGTTTCTATCTAGTGGGAGACTGTCTTTTCCTGTCACCAGGTGTGATCAATTATTATTTTAGAGACAGTTTAACAATCACCTGGCCATCACCTGATGTGGCCATTCCTGGTTGGGGGTGTGGGGGCAGGGGGTCCCTCCTGTCCTGCTTATGTCTGCCTGACTGCCTACTGTAACAGCGGAAACCAAGTGAAGAAAGCACATAAAGTCTGTCAGCATGTCAAATAAAATGAGTTCTGAATCAAGTGAGATAAGGACTAAATAATGGCATTTGAGTTTAGCAATATGAAGGTCATTGGTGACTTTGATAAGAACAATTTTAGTGGAAAAGCAGAGGCAAAGACCCCACAGTAGGATTAAAAGAGACTGGAAGGAGAGCACTTGGAGACAGAACATAGAAGTAAAACTATTGTTACTTGGAGTTATCACACAAACAAGCAGTGAAATCAGGTAATAGCTAGAGGAGAAATTATCTCAGAGAAGATATTTTGCTCTTTGTTTTTGTGTATGTGGTTTTCTTTTTAAGATGGAAGAAATAACAGCATGATTGTAATCTGATAGAAATTGTCTCATAGATGATTGGAAGAGAGAGGAGAAGAGGAAAGTACTAGAGAAAAGTACTTGAGTACTTCAGGATGTTCATAATGAAGGGATTGGCCTTACTCAGTCTGTTTTTTTTTTTTTTTTTTTTTTTTTTTTAACGTATCAGAAGAGAAGGTAGAGTATATTGATGTAGATAGGGGTGGTGGGAATTTGTGTTGAGCTCTCTTGTTGAGTTGGGCATATTGAACTTGCAGTGCTTGGAAGATGTCTTTGTGGAGAGGTCAAGTCAGCAGTTTGAAGGCCACAAAAGCTTCAAATGTAGATTCAGAGATCATCAGCTGAATACATAAATAAAACCAACTAGTGTCATTGATGAGATACCTCAGGCAGCATGTGTAGAGAGGAAGAGACAGCACCTAAGACAGAATGCTGAGGAGCATTGGTATTTACAGGAAGGGTAGAAGAGTCACAAAGGCAGCCGAAAAGAAGCCAGGAATGTAGACTAAAAACTAGTAGAGCATGGGATCCCTGAAGTCAAAGCCAGACAGCATGTCAAGAGGGCAAGAGTGGACAACACTGTCAAAAGTGGCCAGCAGGTTGGATGTAATCACAGTCAGGCCAGTGTTGAGTTTTGAGAGAGCTGTTTTCTTGAGATGGTGGAGGCAGAAGCCAGATTTCGGTGTGGAGAGCAACTAAACCATGAAAAAGTGGTTACAGAAACTGTTTCAGGATGCTTACCTGTGAGTGGGAAGACAAGGATTTGGGAAATGAATTGTAACACAGGCTATGGGGAGAATTTGTTTATTTTTAATATGGAAGAGACTTAAGCTTGTTTAATGCTAACAGGAAACAGGAAAAAGAGCTTCTGTGTTAGGGAAGCTTCCTAAACATAACTAAATTTAACATCTGTCTATAGATAATAGTGAAGTGACACATTTGCTTGGAGATGGAGTTTAGTTTATTTTCCTTGAATTTGTCATTTAAATTATAATTTATCTTCAATAATGTTATGTAGGAGATTTTTAAGATTACACTTTTAAGATCAACCATTTCTTATATTCTTTGTTCACCTGAAAGCAATCATATATAATTACCCAGCCTGATCCACATGGAATTTCATTCATTGCTAACATCCTGTAGCATCCATCAAATTGCTGTAGATATAAACCTGTTTGTCATATAATACAGTCTTCAAAAAACTTATTCCTTGCTGGGCACAGTGGCCCACGCCTGTAATCCCAGCACTTTGGGAGGCCAAGGCAGGCGGATCACCTGAGGTCAGGAGTTCGAGACCAGCCTGGCCAATATCGTAAAACCCCATCTCTACTAAAAATACAAAAATTAGCCAGGCACAGTGGCACGTGCCTGTAATCCCAGCTACTCGGGAGGCTGAGGCTAGAGAATCGCTGGAACCTGAGAGGCGGAGGTTGCAGTGAGCTGAGATCACGCCACTGCACTCCAGCCTGGGCTACAGAGTGAGACTCTTGTCTCAAAAAAAAAAAAAAAAAAAGTTTATTCCCCTTTTTTCCTTAGAAGACTTTTTATGTCTTATTAAAACTGTGTTTACTTCTAAGGGTAAATAAGTTATCATGCTCCACAGAACTATCATTTTAAATAAGCTTTGTAATATTAAAATAATAATAAATGTGTATGTATGTAGATGTAGGAAGGAAGGAAGGACTGAAAGTATTGATAGAACTGTTGGAAATTTAATTGAACTTTTAATACTATCTAGAGTTGAGAACAAGGAATCATTTTGTGGTTCATATATCCTCCTCTTTCCCCTAACCTCTCCTTTCACCACACTTTCTAGTATATACATAATCAAATAAGGTGAGCATAGGAAGTCTACAAATCACAGACGTTTTCCTCAGATTTCTAAATGAAACACAAATAGATGTTATTAAGCATATGTTCATTGAATTCATTAAAAGTAAATGAGTGTGATTTTTAATTTTAAGGGAAAGGATGAGGATTTGGAAGCATCAGGCTATAATAAAGCAGGTGGTACAATAGCCAATCTGGAATACTGTTATTTTTAATAAAATCAGGCAATGCAATTCCATTCTGGCATTTTCCACTGTCATTGTAGACTGTCATCTGGGACACCTACCATAGTGTTTCTCCAGGATGCTAGTGCCCTCTCACTGGTGTATTTATTAATGCCTTGGTGAAAAGACTGCTTTCTAGGTGTTCTGAAGTGGGTTCTTCGTGGATGGCTGACCAGGTTGCACATAGTGGGTCCACTCTGACATTCTCATCTCCTTGAGCCAGTAATGCTCCAGCTAATTGACTGTAGGCCACTATTGGGTCCGAAGTCCAAGCTTCAATTACTCAGCCTAGCAGTGAAAAACTACACCTGAATGTTGAGTCAACACATTAAACCACAAATCCTAGATGAGTATGTGCATTTGATAAATTTGGCTGTATTTAATTTTTTATTTACCCACCTTGGGGTAACACCCTTCTGACCTGAAAGAAGAAGCTGAGGCACAGGATATATTTAAAGAGTTTGCTTGAACCAAAGTGAAGACTGCTGCCAGGAACACACTTCCAGGTTACCTTGAGGAGTGCTCCGTTAGATCTTTGTTACAAGTAGGTTTTTAAAGGCAAAAGGAGACCAGGGCTGGGCTGATACAAAGTTGTTTGACAGGGGTTTTCATTGGTTTACAAAATAACATTGATAGCGTGTGAGTCATGGTGTCCAGTGTATGGCATTTTATGGCTACTTGGTATCAGTTTAGAGCCCACATAGCAAGTGGCCTCAAGAGGTGATTATTGAGCTCAAGGTGGGAGTGAGATGTGACTGCTCTCACATTTTAAATACCTCTCTGGGCCTAATAATTTAAATGGTCTCACATTCCTCAGATAAAAAAAGTTTTCTTTCTCAGCTCTTAGAATTCATTTCTATATGCTGCCCATACTCCTTCCAATATAAATTGGCAAAATCCTTTAACACCTTCATTGCTTTTATATCTAGTCTCTGCTGTGATCTTAACTGTCATCATAGGCCTGAAGACAATGACAAGTGATTGGGTAGGTGTTAAAGATACTTGGCCTCCCCTTTCGGGGTAACTATTTCAGGTGAAGTTAATAAATGCTTTATGCAAAAACAGGCTGGTTGCCTCAGGTTATAGCTGCTGTGGGGAAAGGGATGAGATTGCTTCTACCTGCAGAGGTTTGAAGGGATATGAGGGTTCAGAGTTCTCAGCACTGTCTTTTGCTGCCCAGAGGTTCCAAAATGTTGTCCAAAAGACACAAACTGAGGCAAAATTAATATAGAGTTTATTTGGGCCAAGGTTGAGGACTGCAGCCCAGGAAACACAGAGAAGTGCTCCAGAGAACAAAAAAGAGGCTCAGGGTTTTAAAGAAAGACAAATCAGGAGAGGGAACATACAAAAGTCTTTTGTCAGGAATTCTCATTGGTTTGCAGAAATAACATTGATTAATGATTGGATGTATATTGTTGACCTATATAGGGTGTGAGTAATGGTGTCCAGAAAATGGCATTGTTGGGTTAATTTATAGCTATTGGTGACGCTCAGTCTGGAGTCCACATAGCCGGTAGATTACTTAGCTGAACTGGGAGAATGAGATGTCACTGCAGTCACATTTCAGTGCCTCTCTGGCCGTGCTAATTTAAAGGGGCTCACATTTCTCGTAAAAAATTTATTTTCTTTCTCACATCTCATGTCTTGGGAACTCCACTCATTCTGAATCCACACCCTTAGCCTAAGAGGTTTGGTCAGCGTTGTGCAGATCAACATTTTGCACCTTCTGATGGGATGCACTGAGAGACATCGTCCTTGTGGTATTCCAGCCAAAAATGAATTCTGTGGGACTAGTCATAAACATCAGATGACCCCAGGATGAGTGTCACTGTACTCAGTTAGAGACCTGTACATTATAAAACTGTTGTGAGTGATAGGGAAGACTGAGGAACTGTTCTAGACCAAGGGAGATTGAAGAGATATGACTACTAAATGCAACACATATTTCTCAGTTGGATCCTGGCCTTGATAAGAAAAGGAGACATTGTTGGGATAACATGAATTGGGTCTGTGAATTCAAATGGTAAGTGTTCTAGTAATGTTGATTTTTTAAATTGAGAAGATTGCTTCATGATTATGGCAGAGTGTCCTTGACTTTGAGAGAGACACACTGGAGTATTTAGGGGTAATAAGGCATAATATCTGCAGCTAGCTGCCTCTCAGTGGTTCTGAAGAACACTAATGAAAGTAATGGAGAAAATACAGTAAAATATTAACAATTGGGGAATCTGGGTTAAGACGATACAGCAATTCTTTGTACTATTCTTTAACTTTTCTATAAAACTGAAAGTATTTCACAGTAAATGTTTTAAAATTTCTGAACTCATATAAATTCTAATTATGAACAAAATGTTTGGAATACTATCGTTAATCAAATTGATAACACTAGGAAGTGACTCTGGCCTAATATTAAATAAGGGCCCAGCAACTTTGTATTTTGTAAGAATATTGATCTCAAACTAATTTGCCTTTGGATAGAACATAATGAATGTGAAGCAGATGGCAACTATTATTTTCATTTTGGTCCATTATCAACCTTGATGAGACCTTCTCTGACTATATAGAGTGGCCACCCTCTCCCAAATACTATTTATTGCATTACTGTATATATATATATATATAATTTAGAACTTACTCTCTGAAATTAGTTCATTTTACTCACTTTTCACTGGCAATCTGCCTCTACCAGAATATAAGCTCCGTGACAGCAGTAGCTGTGAAGACCTACAACAATTTCTTGGCACCTAGTAAGTGCTCCATAAATATTTGGTAAATGAATGAACAAATCAGTATTATTGTAATATAAATTCCTGGAACATGCTTTCACCAGGCCTGTCACTACTTATAAACAAGCTGTGTTCTCTGGGGACAATATTTCTGCAGTTCAATCTGATATTTTATGTTTTATGTAACTATTGGAAAAATAATTTCAAGTTTTCAGTTGACCTTTAATTCCCTTTTTTCCTTTTGTGTTTTGAATTGTGTTAGTCAAAGTGAAAGGGAAGAATTTGAAAGTGAGTTCAAACAACAGTATGAACGAGAAAAAGTGTTGTTAACTGAAGAAAATAAAAAGCTGACAAGTGAACTTGATAAGGTGAGTGATTTAGTCTCATATTAATTGAGTAGTACATGCTAGATGTTCAACACTGATAGGAATTGTGGATATAACTGTGTATTTGGCATACATTTTTGTTTAATAGTCTTTCTTCTGAGTTATATTGCTTCTATGATATATACAATTCTTTGTCGTATTCTAAAGAGACAGTTTTGCTTATCTCCTTTTATTCTTTGTCCCATTTTTGGTTTTTTTTGAGCTTCTTATTTATTTCACTTTCCATCCGTATTAGTCCATTTTGGGGTTACTATAAAGGAATACCTGAGACTGGGTAATTTACAAAGAAAATAGGTTTATTTTGGCTTATGGTTCTGCAGGCTGTACAGGAAGTGTGGTGCCAGCATCTGCTTCTGGTGAGAGTCTCAGGAAGCTTTCAATCACAGAAGGTGCAAGGGCGAGGGAGGGAGCAAGAGAGAGACTGGGGAGGTGCACACACCTTTGAACAACTGGATCTCACTGAGTGAGAACTCACTTATCACCAAGGGGATGGTGCTAAACCATTCATGAGGGGCCTGCCCCCATGGTCCAGTCACCTCCCACCAGGCCCCACCTACAACACTGGGAATCACATTTCAGCCTGAGATTTGGAGGAGACAAACATTGAAGTCATATCACCATCCGTTCTCTTTCTTACTCTTTTCTTTCATATATTCATCATTTGCCCTGTCATGGATGGCTAAGTTCAGGCCACGTTAAGTCTGGCCCTTGGCAAGAACAGGGACAATTAGGCCAAACCTGGAGAAATTGTAACAGCTGATTCATATTCACAGAGGAGAACTGGTAAAGCTAGAAATGATACCGGAGTAGGTGATAATCTAAGGAAACCATCTCAACCTAATTTCTAGCTTGAATACAGAATCATGTATTGAACTGAGAAGTAGCCATATTCATGAACAAAATTTCAAATACTTAAAGGAATTTTTTTCCACTTAGCATCTCAAATTTCTCAACTTCCCACCATTCTGCATTTCTTGTGCTAATTCCTAACAAGCAGTTGTAAAAATCCTAATATTAACTAGAAGTTTATTGTTTGTTTGTTTGTTTTGATACAGTCTCACTGGGTCGCCCAGGCTGGAGTGCAGTGGCATAATAGCTCACTGCAACCTCCGCCTCCTGGGTTCAAACAATTCTCCTGCCTCAGCCTTCTGAGTAGCTGGGACTACAGGCCCACACCACCACACCCAGCTAATGTTTGTATTTTTAGTAGAGATGGAATTTCGCTGTGTTGGCCAGGCTGGTCTTGAACTCCTGACCTCAGGCAATCCACCTACCTCGGCCTCCCAAAGTGCTGGAATTATAGGCATGAGCCACCATGCCTGGTTGCATGAGCCACTGCGCCCAGCCCAGAAGTTTTAATAATTCTACTTACATTTACATAAGAAGGGCTGGATAATTGCATTTTATAATGATATCTAGTATTTTCTTCCTATAAAAATATTATGTTCAATTATTAGTTATTCCAATAACAAACTGAAAGACCATTACTTGTAAAATAGAGACTCTTCTTTCTTTTTGTTTTATATATAGCTCTGTATTTTCACTATTTTCCCCGTGATTATTTAGCATTTAAAATGCTAAATAAGTATTTAAAACATTTTAAAAATGAATACTTGTTTTCCAAGCCTTTAAAAAATGACTAGTTGAAAACTACTTGAGAAAGAATACTGTTCATATTGTAAAGTCTTATAAAGCTAACATATACAAACATTGTAGAAAGTGGCTGAACAGTAAGTAATATAAATTGATTTTTTAAGCCATGAACAGTGCATGAACTTTATTGTATAACAGTTATTTCCATTGAAATAAGAGTAACAATATTTGAACTTTATCCAGACAGGTCACATAATTGTTACTTCATTTGTTGCCTAATTTGATTACAAAATTTAATGTCATTTTGTCCTATAAGACAGAATTTTAAGATTCTGTTGAGTTAACTACTAAAAGATGTTACATTTTAAGAAAAATTATATTGGAAAATAAGTTGAATGTAGATCAAATTTTTACATTCAATTATTGGTTTAATTTCATTGCTAGCCGTACATTTCTGCTGAGTTTCTCTGAAATATATATTTAGAGAGAATTGTTCAAAACTTCTTATTTGATTAAAATTGTGTTGCAGTCTAATACATCCATGAGAAAGGGACATACTTAGGCCTAGTATATGTAGTGAAGCCTCCTTGATGAGGCCTGATGGATAGTTTGTTTTTAAAAAAAAAAAAAAAATTACCCATTCTTCCTAAATTGAAAGGTAGGTAGGATATGAGTAGCACTTTAAGAGCAAATTCATATGGTAAGTAAATATTTAATGTCCAGTGGTTACAGGACAATATTTATTCCTGAAGAAATGGGGGAGATCTGGAATCTCTATTTCCATTTGAACCTCTGCTCTGTTTCTCAAACTTTTTTTCATTTTTTGCATCTCTCTCTTCTTAATTCTCAGTCTACCTTTCCCTTTTTAATTCTGTCTGTCTCAGTGATGATCAACTGAACTTCACCTCACATCTTCACTTTCCATTTATTCATTTTCCAATTTGGTTTGAAGTGGGTATTTTCCCCAAGGATGGCAACAGAAGCATTTGCCATTGCTACACCAACTATTCCATTGGGAACCAGCTTGAAGAGAACTAGATCTCTTCTTGACAGAATTACAGATACAAAAGTCAGAAAGCAATTATTAGGTTAATTTTGAAAGGTATATATTATAGATTTTCACATTTTTAAACTCCAAAAATAAAAACATTTAAATAAATATTTAAAAATTAGATGACATATTTGTAAATCTTATAAGCCCCACTTTTTATTAAAAGATAATTCATTGCAGGCTGGGCACAGCGGCTCATGCCTGTAATCCCAGCACTTTGGGAGGCCGGGGCAGGCAGATCGCTTGTAGTCAGGAGTTTGAGACCAGCCTGGCCAACATGAAGAAACCCCATCTCTACTAAAAATACAAAAATTAACCGGGTGTGAAGACACGTGCCTGTCCCATCTACTCAGGAGGCTGAAGAGGGAGAATCATTTGAACCCAGGAGGTGGAGGTAGCAGTGAGCCGAGATCGCACCACTGCACTCCAGACTGAGCGGCAGTCTGTCTCAAAAAATGTATATATATATATAGCATTGCAAATATAATTAGCCATCTGGTTTCCTTCAGTCTCATAACAAATTTTTAAAAATTAGCAATTTATGCCAGTGAGTAAAATTGTTTACAGTAAGAAAAGTTGTAATTTGTTTTTAAAATCTGTTTTTCAAATATTTTCAAAAAATGTGGAAAATATTTAACATGAAAGTTACCTATAATGTGATCACGACAAAATAGGTATTTTAATTTTGTATGTTTCTTTCCAGGTTTTGCCTATATCCTTATTATTACATAATTGCAATCACGTATACAGTCCACTTACTAATCTGCCTTTTCACTTAAAATGTTAAGAGCATTTTTTCATATTCCTATGTAGTCTTCTTATAACTCAAATGTGTCAATGTACGAATAGTAAAACCTCATTTTCAAACATGAAAAATGAACTAATACTTAAAATTTACTATGTGCAGGTCATCTTCTGAATTACTTCATATCACTCATTTAATTTTCACAATAACTCTCTACGGTGTACCCTTTTGTTCTTGCCATTTTATAGATCAAGAAACTAAGTCAAAGAAGGGTTAAACTACTTTCCCAATCTCAAGAATAAGAGGTAGGGTTTGAGTACAGGTAGTCGGGCTCCAGAGTCCATGCTTTTATTTGGTAATTATGCAGAGATTAACTTTTTTCTGACCAATTGCACATAAATTAAGCAATCTGTTGAAAACTACTTATCACTGTTGCAATATGACAGTGCAGAGTTTGCATTTTGCTCCTCTTGCAAATATCCAATTGAAACCCCAACCACAAATGTGGAAGGGCTATCAGAAATAATGGTAATCCAAAATGGATATTAGTGCAGGAATTAATGAAGAGAAGATGCTGCATATACAACCCTCAAAAACAGCTGGTGGACTTCTGGCTATGCTAATATGAAGAGATTGATTGATCTTCTAAAAAAATGCTAAAAAGCAAATGCAATTGTCAAAAACAACCATTTCGAAGTCTTGGAGTTAACCAAGGGAAGATGACAGCTACAAAACACTGCTAAGATGTATTAAGGAATAGCTGAACAAATTGAGAGATAACTATGTTAATGGATTGGAAGACTCAATATTGTTGGGATAGCAATTCTTCCCAAATTGAGCTATAAGTTCTGGGACATCCGTATCAAAATTCTGGTAGGCTTTTTGCTGGAATTCACAAGCTTACCCTTAAAGTTATAGAGGAATAGAAAAGACCAAGAATAGTTCAGATATTTTGAGTAAAGTTAGAAGTTGGAGGATTAACACTATTTAATTTTAATACTTGCTGTAAATATGCAATAATCAAAAAGATGTAGTACTGGCATAATGAAACAGAATGAAGAGTCCAAAAATAAGCTCTTACATTTATGGTCAGTTGATTCTCTGCAAAAGTGCCAAGGCAATTCAATGGAAAAAGGATAATCTTGTCATATAGTACTGGAACAATTGGATATCCATATGTGAGAAAAAATGAACTTGGATCCTTACTTCATACCTTATACAAAAATTAACTCAAAGTGGATCACAATCTGAAATATAAAACGTAAGCATAGGAGAAAATCTTTGTGATTTAAAAATGTCAAGATAATGACATTAAAAGCACAGTGAATGAGAGAAAAGTAATGATAAATTGAACATCAAAATTTTAAAAGAACATTAAGAAAATGAAAAGACATGCGCAGATGGGGAGGAAATATTTCCAAATCATTTATCTGAAAAAAGACATGTATTCATAATATGTAAAGAACTCTTAAGACTGGACGTGGTGGTTCACACCTATAATCCCAGCACTTTTTAGGAGTCTAAGGCATGAGAATCACTTGAGCCCGGGAGTTCAAGACCAATCTGGGAAATATATAAGACCTTATCTTTACA